TAGCATCAGTAACAGCGCTCTTCTTACGACAGGCACGGGTTTCTCTCATCATGTGTGTATCGTCAAGTTCAAGGTTCGGGCGGCGCGCAACCTGCCTGTCATGGGCGAGGCGACTGGGCCTGCCGACGCCTATGTAGAGGTCAAGCTCGGCGATCAGCAGTTCGGAGAGACGGACATTGCGCGAAAGCCGTTGTCTTCATTTTTGGCAAAGTGAACTACTTTCGGCAGGAGGTGTCGGACGATGGTGATGTGCAGGACTCGCCACTGGAGCTCAAGTTTTGGGACCATGATCTTAATGATTTACACGTCATAGGCTCGGGCCGCATCGATCGGGAAGGGGAAGGGCGGAGGGGAAGGGGAAGGGCAGGGGGGGGGGCGTACATCTCAATGTCGGACGGGGTGGGTGTGGCCACCTCGAGTGGGGGCGTCGACTTGACAAACAGAGGCGCAGCAGACGACATGAAGGAGGCAGCAGCGGTGAAGAAAGGTGCTGTCAACAACCGTGTCTGTCGGCTGACGGTGGCGGTGGCGGTGGCGGTGGAGGCAGCGGTGGAGGCAGCGGCAGAGGTAGTGGCCAAGGTGGCCAGGGTGCTGGTAGAAGTGGTCAGATGGCCTATCACTGTGCGAGGTGGATAAAGGGTGTGGTAGAGGTGGGTGGACGCCGGCTGCGTGGAGGCGATGCGCCTGGGGCCGGATGCTATGCCTCGCTGTGTGCTCCTGGTGGTGGTCAGCGGCTGCAGCGGCAAAGACGACGAGTGACGCGCAGCGGGGCGGCCGGAGGAGAAGGCCAGACCGACTGCCCTTCGCCCGGCAGTCCACACAAGGACTGCGGCACGAGCCATGCTACCTCCACGCATCATCTTGCTTCCGCTCGTTTGCCTGCGAGTGCTGTGCCTCTCCTCCCCCTCCACCCCACCCCCACCCCGGTTCAACTCCTCTGCTTGCCCTCGGGCTCTCAACCCGCTACCGACCCGACTCGACTCGACTCGACTCGACTCGACGGGGGGTTCACCGATACGGTTCGACTCAGCACCATTGCCCCGATCGAGGTACTACAGGAGCTAGCAGTGGTCGGGGGGGGGGGGGGGGGGGGAGGGGGGAGGGTGTTTGATGCTTGCGAGATACACCGGATGCCATGATCGGATGCCAGATGCGTGTCGACAGCCTTGGCCTGGCCTCAGCGATGGGGTGTGGGGGAGCACATCATCGCAGCAGTCGATGATAATAACGGCCATAAACTGGGTGCTTGGGTCGGGATGGGGCTGCTGCTCGGTGGTAGGCCGGCCGAAGGGGCAACCAGCAGCTGGTGAAGAAGGGACGTTCGCGGGGAACAGTGGCGGCAGCAGTGGCGGCAGCAGGCACAGGAGAGGGGATGCCGGAGGGTACCTGACTCGAGAAGAGGTCGACCATGGCGCAGGTGCCCATACAGGGCGCACATGGTGTGCAGGGTGGTGGGACAGGAGGTGAGAGCCTCTCGGGTGCCTCCGCCCTTGACGCCCTCGACGCCCTCCTGGCCCAGCCGCTCCCCACCGTGACCGAGGACGATCTGTCGTCCCTGGCCCTGCCTCCACTCTCCGCCACTCCTGCTGCGCCTGCCTTGTTTGATCCGCCCACCTCGCCCGCCATGTCCAAAGAGCCCGTCATCCCTGCATTGTCTGCATCGCCGGTGGCTGCAGCCGGATCCGTCACATCCGCCACCACGGCGTCATCGCCCCTCATATCGTCCCTCTTTGCTGCACCGATTGCTGAACCGTCTGGGCCCCGGGCCATGGCTGCTGCACCCTCCAGCCCTCTTCTGACGGCTGCCGCTCCCGATGCGGGCTTTGCTGTCCCGCTCGAGTGGCCAGCGTTCCAGACACAGCCCAAGGCCCAACCCCAGGCCGCGGTCTCCACTCTGGCGCCGCAACTGCCACCGGCACGGGTTCTGGTTGAGCTCATCGGGCACGGCAATGTGCTTGATGTTGTGGTGCCCGACGTGCCGGACCACGTGGCGATGCGCCCGTCGGCAAAGGGCGTTCGCTTTGCCCAAGTCATCGAGTACTCGGACGGCGCTGTGGCCGACCTTCAGACCAAGGAGGACGAGCGACTGGCGCTCAAGCTCCAGCAGCAGCTCAACGGCCCGCCGATGTCTGACCGCGAGGCCCGCCGTGCCCGTCGCAAGGAGAAGAAGCGTGCTCGCGCCGCCGCAGCCGCAGCCACCGGCGCAATGCCTGCAGCGTCGGCTTCGCCAGCTCCGCCCGTTGCTGCTGCCGCTGATCTCTCTTCGGCCTCGTTTGAAGAGCTGAGCATCATTCTTGACACCTCGGCTGACATTGCCATCCTCGAAGCCGCCGCCCGCGAACTGGCGCGTCGCTCCGACGCTGCTGCCACTGCTGCCGCTGCGGCACCTACGGCTGCAGCACCTGTTTCCGGCATCCCTGTCGCCATGCCCGCCGCCACTGGCGCCGCATCGCAGCCCTCTCACGTCGCCCCATCGCCGCCTACCCCATCGACCACCTTGTCGCCATCTGGTGTCCACCTCCCTGAGTTCTGGGAAGAGCGGACCGCGCCTGATGGCCGCATTTACTACCTCAATCACAAGGATCGCTCCACCCATTGGAAGCCACCATCCGCATAAGCGATAAACCGTTCTCCCACCACGTCGCCCGAGTTGTCTCTCGGAACTGCCGTGACTGAAAGGATGACAGCCAAATTGAGTGCGATCCCTCGTCGCTGACCGCTCTGCTCAACTTCGGCAGGCACTCGTGGCGACCGGAGGGAACGCCACAGTTATGGGCTAGACCACCTTACTCACGGTTGCCCAAGGCATAGAGCATGGCGTCGCCTCCGTCTGAAGCTGGGCTGGTGCCCCCAACACCAGCGGTGGTCATTGCCCCGCCCGAGAGCTCGGCTGCGCCGCCCGAGAGCTACGCCGCTCGCGCCGCCAAGGACATTGTCGCCGGGAGCATAGGCGGCTGCTGTGTACGGCGACGTGGATCGAGGGGGGGGGGGGGGGGGGGGGGGGTAGGGTAAGGGAGGCGGAGGCAGGATGGCGGGAACTCACAGGACGAGAGGCTGTGCGTGGTGATGATGGACGTGATGCTGATGATCGACATGACAATGGACACGGTGCTGGGCATGATGATGGCGACAACATCGTCCTCGACTCGTACATCTACACCTGCGCATGCACTTGCTCCTCCTCGGGTTGCGGGCATGTGGCTGGGCATGGGCGATGTGAGAGGGTAGCTGACGGTCACGGGCTACCCGTTTGATCTGGTCAAGGTGCGGACGCAGGCGGCCGGGCCGGGCGCAGGCGGGACCTGGAGTATGCTGCGGCAGACGGTGGCGACCGAGGGCTTCCGCGGACTGTACAAGGGCATGGCATCGCCGCTGACGGGCATGCTCTCCATGAACGCACTCTGCTTCCTCACCTACGGCCAGGCCAAGTACGCGCTCAGGCCTGAGGGCTTTGACGAGGACAAGGACGAGCTGCCGCTGGCGTCGATCGCCATCGCCGGCGCCACCGTCGGTGCCATCCTCTCCTTTGTTGAGGGTCCCATCGACCTGGTCAAGACCAAGGTCATGCTCGAGGGCATGGGCAAGAAGACCTCGATCGGCTCGGGCGCCATGGCGCAGCGGATCTGGAAGGCCCACGGAGTCCGCGGCCTCTTCCAGGGTCTCACCGCCACGCTTCTTCGCAATACTCCGGCCAACTCGATGTATTTTGTCGCCTACGAGATCGTCCGCCGTGCCATGATCGAGCCCGGCGCCCCTGTCCCGGTCCATGTCTCCATCCTAGCCGGCGGTACCGCAGGCATCGCCTACACTGGCGCCCTCGGCTTTGACGTCATCAAGTCGAACATCATGTCTGACACCCTGCGCGGCGACAAGTACTCGGGCATCATCGACTGCGCCCGCAAGCTGTACGCCGCAGAAGGCGCCGGCGTCTTTGTCAAGGGCTGGGCCCCGTGCCTGCTGCGCGCCTTTCCGGGCAATGCCGCCCTCTTTGTCGGTCTCAACCTCACCTACAACTTGTTCGACATAGTCGGCTGGTGATGAGCATCACTGCTGCCATCTTTACCCGTCTCTTCTCCCCCCTCTCACTCTGACTGCCGATGCACCAGCTCGGAGGCGGCTGCAGTAAAGACCAGCGCATCTGCACAAATCGCAGAGCATGACGCGATGGACCCCCTCACCAAGAGCTAGCTCTTGTCCGTTGCAGGCACAGCGCCCGATGCGACGAGCTGCTCGGCAAGTTTGGGTGAGAGGGTGACCCTGATCGGACCGGCGATGTCACCGCCCAGGTTGAGCTTCTTGTGCGCGCCATCGCAGAGCGGATACGTGGCCGATGCCCAGCACCGACACAGCGAGAGCCGCTTGCCCTTGCCGATGTGTTCTTCCGTCAGCTGCACCTCATCGATCGCAGCCCTGACCCGCCTGCTGCCGTCCTCGCCCTTGCCTACGCTCTCGTTGTTGCCGCCCGCCGTGCTCGTCCTCGCCCGCACCGCCGCGGCGCCCATCACACGCTGCATCCCTGCTGCTCCCGTCTTGGCAACCTGCATTGCTCTCCGCAGCATGTTTGAGGTATGTCTGCCACTAGACGGGTGAGGGACTGACTCTGTCTCTGTCTCTGACCGATTGTTTCTTGGTGTCGCGTCGCCCCTCTGCCCGGCAAGCCCCACGTCGGCCAGCCATCCCCACGATTCAAGCACGTCTCTCCATGCTCGTCATGCTTGCCTCTGCCTTTGAGTGCTGCGTTTTAACAGGCGGACGACTGGGCGGTCTCGGGTAGCCGATCTGAGCAGGGTGCGATGGCGATGGAACCAGGTTAGTCGGTGGCGGGCGATGGGGCCAGTTCAGTCCGTGATGGGCGAAGACAGATGCTGGCATAGCGTGGCTTGGCAGCAGCGACTACTCGGCGGTGGCAGCGAGCCGAGCTGCGATGCAGTAGAGATCGTACTTGCCGGTGGCATCTGTGCCGTAGACAGCGAGGCAGGGCGAGCCGGCCTGCGCCACAAACACATCGGCGGTCGAGTCTTCGGCATGCTTGGCCTCCAACGTCTCGCCTGCCTCGAGCTGGGCGACGGCGAAGTCGGTGGGTGCCTTGCGGTGGAAGCACGCGTTGCAGGTGTCGGTCACTTTCGGCAGGCGCGCAGGGACGGGATGGGGACGGGGACGGGGACAGGATAGGATGAGTGGTACATGTGGTGTGAGAAGAGGAGGGGAGGAAGAGATGGGCGCAATTGTACGTACTTTGTGTAAAGTAAAGTGCTGCATATGGTGTCCGCTGTTCACGTGCGGGTGTGTTCGGCATCCATGTGGTGGCGACCCAAGGCAATGACGCCGACTCGCCGCACATGTCGTCATCCGATTGGGTGACGTAAGAGGGACACCTTCATTGGGCGATTACGGCACTCATCCTGCAACCCGCATGAGTCCTGAGGCGAGGTTGGCACGGTTGCGCAGCTTGATCGACCGCTGCTTGAACTCGTGGGCCTCGAGGTATTCCTCGCGCTCGGCGGCCGAGTACTTTGCGCTCTCCTCGACCATAACCTTGGCCAGGAGATCGTCGTAGAAAGCCTTGACCTTGGCGAGGCGCGGGTTAGCCGCAGCGTATGCGTGGAGTCTCTTGAGTTGCTCCACAGAGATGACATTGTTTTCGGCCTCACAGTCCATGAGCTGGTCAGTTGCCAGCATCATGGGCGACTTGGCCGCGTCTTCTGGCGACTCGACAAACGGCTCGGGCTCGGCCGGCTTGGCCGGCTCGGCTGGCTCAGCCGGCTCGCTGGACGGCAAAGGAACTCCTGGGGCGGATGCAGGTTTGGTGGATGCAGGCTTGGCGGGTGCAGGCTTAGCCGACGCAGGCTTGGCCGGCGCGGGCTTGGCCGGCGCAGGCTTGGGCGACTTGGCGGGTGCAGGCTTGGCCGGCGCAGGCTTGGCCGACGCAGGCTTGGCGGGTGCAGGCTTGGCCGGCGCAGGCTTGGGCGACTTGGCGGGTGCAGGCTTGGCTGGCGCAGGCTTGGGCGACTTGGCGGGCGCGGGCGGGAGCGGATCGTCCGGCTTGGCCTCTGCCTCTGCCTCTGCCTCTGCCTCTGCCTCAGCCGCAGCCTCTGCCTCAGCCGCAGCCGCAGCCTCAGCTTCCGCCTCAGCCTCAGCCTTGGCCTCGGCCTCAGCCTTGGCCTCAGCCTTGGCCTTGGCCTCGGCCTTGGCCTCGGCCTCAGCCTTGGCCTTGGCCTCGGCCTCAGCCTTGGCCTTGGCCTCGGCCTCAGCCTTGGCCTTGGCCTCGGCCTCTTCGGCAGCGCGGATGACTTCGAGTGCGGCCGGGTTGGCCTTACGCTCGCGTCGCGACGGACGGCGCCGACCCTTGCGCGAGGCGGCCGCTGACGTCTTTTCCTTCGAGGCCGAGAGATCCAGGTCGCGCGGCTGGGCAGACTTGTTGGCCAACGACGGCGGCGGACTACCCATCATGCCGGGAATGCCCATGGGCGGGCCACCACCCATCGGCCCGCCCATCGGAATGTTGAGGCCGGCAACCCGGTCGGCGACAGACTTGCGGCGGCCGGCGCGTGCGTGTCCACCGGGGACTCCGAGGCCGCCAGCCGGCGGCGAGCTGCCAGGCGGGCCCATCATCGGCAGGTTGAGGCCAGCAACCCGGTCAAGGACCGAGCCGCGGCGACCCTTGCGCGGACCCGGCTTGGGCGAGCTATCCTCGGCCGACGCAGCCGCAGCAGGCTCGGGCGTCGCCTCGCGCGATGGCGTCGGGCTCTTCCGCCGCGGTGGCGCGCCACCCGGTACCATCATCGGAATGCCACCCGGCGGCACACGCGACGAGATATCCTGCGAGCTCGGCCGCGAGCCAGGCTTGCCCGGCTTGGCCGGCTTGGGTCCACCTGGCGACGGCTTGGCCGGCTTGGCCCCGGTTGGCGGCGGCTTGGCCCCGGCCGGCGGCGGCTTGGCTGGCTTTGGCCCGGCCGGCGACGGCTTCCCGGTCTTGGTCGGCTTGGTGGGCTTGGCCCCAGCCGGAGGCGGCTTGGCCGGCTTGGCCCCGGGCTTTCCGGGCTTCGGCGGAGGCGACCCTACCGCAGCCACGCAGGGCCAGACAAACGCCACACTCGGGTGAGTCGCACAACGCACCCAGGAGCACACATTGGTCAAGGAAGGCATGCTTGCGAGTCTTGACAGCATGTGCACGGCCTTGGCAGCGAGCCAGGGGCGGTGCGGACCAAGGCCAAAAAATGGCCCAACAGCCAGCGCACGCACAGGGAACAGGCGACATGGGCATGGTCTGGCGGGAGGACGAGGATGACTCTCAGCCAGAATTACGGACGGAAAAAGGGGGGGAAGGGGGTCACTGAGGGACCATCACAAGTGCAGACCAGGAACAGACAACATCACCAACCACCTCATCTCTGCCTAACCTACCCGACATGTGAAGGAGAGGACTGCCACCCGCTCGCCCTGGCAAGCCCAAACAGCGTGCCCGTCGTCAGTTCCTGCCGTTCTTCGAGCGAATTGAGCGAATTGGAATGGCCCAATAATGGGGTTCCCCCCCCCCCCTCCGCCACACAGGTGCCACCCGCCGCCGACCAACCGTCACCCGCCGACCGCCCCCCCCCCCCCCTCCTTTCCCCAAACTCTCTAATCATCTCCACATCACCTTCACCTCCCCCCCCTCCCCCCTCCCTCTCCCCCTCCCTTCAGTTGCCACCGACACCCTCACCTAGCCACACCCGACTTGAAGGACCACCACCATGGCACCCAAGCTCCGTAACAAGAAGGTACGCTCTAGCCTTGCCCTCCACTCCCTCCCCTCTCAGATGGCACCCTTTCCAGCTGCCAACTAGCCTTCACCCTTGGGTTGCCGGCGGAGGATGGAGCCATCCTGGGCCATCCACCGAGGCGGCGAGCAAAGTGGAGCGGGAGAGACGGGATACTCACAGGCGGAGGGCAAACTGGGACGGAGGGATAGGGCGACACGTTCGCTCGCAAGTACTTTACGCGGACCAAGGCGATGCGCAAGCTCGGGCTGTCTGTGGGCAACTTCCGGCGGCTCTGCATCCTCAAGGGCGTCTTTCCGCGGGCGCCCAAGGGCTCGGGCTCGTCGAGCCAGGTCTACTACCTGGCCAAGGACATCAAGTTCCTGGCCCACGATCCCCTGCTGCAGTCATTCCAGAAGGAGCACCGGCATTTCAAGCAGATGAAGTCTGCGCTCGGAGTGCGCGACTTTAAGAAGCTCAACGAGCTCGTGGCACGGCGGCCGTCGATCTCGGTCTCGCACATCATCCGCGAGCGGTACCCGACGTTTGTGGACGCCATCCGCGACCTGGACGACGCGCTCTCGCTCATGTTCCTCTTTGCCTCGGTCGAGCGGCTGCACTACCGCTACCAGCCTGCGCTCCTCTCGTCGATCGAGTTCAGCACCCTGCACTTTCTCAACTACGTCGTCAAGACCTCGTCACTGAAGAAGGTCTTCATCTCCATCAAGGGCATCTACTACCAGGCCGCCATCATGGGCCAGAACGTGACGTGGATTGTGCCGCACCGCGCCAAGGTCGACACCGAGCTCATTGTCAACCACACCATTCTGCACTCGTTTGTTCAGTTCTACGACACCCTGCTCAAGTTTGTCAACTTTAAGCTCTACGCCACGAAGGAAATGCCGTACCCGCCCGAGGTCTCCGAGACGCTCCGCGCCGGCGATGCTATGCTTGACATCTTCAACGTCGAGGCGGCAGCAGCCGACGATGGTGGCATGTCTCCGGCTGAGAACGCTGTGTCCGAGGAGGCAGCGGCGTCCGAGGCCCCGATCACCGACGACGACATGCGGTCGCGCATCGACTCGCTCCGCGCCACCATCGAGTCGCGTGCCGAGGAGGAGAGCGCGCTGGTGGCGGCAACCGGCGGCAAGGACGACGAGAACGAGCTCGACGAGTTTGAGGAGGACGATGAGGACGAGGAGGCGCGCGTGAAGCGGCTCGCCGCCCGCCAGGCCAAGAAGGCGCGCCAGCGCAAGAAGTGCCTCTTTGCCGGCCTCAACATCTGGCTCAACCGCGAGACGCCCGTCGACTCGCTCCAGTTTGTGGTCAAGGCGCTCAAGGGCGAGGTGGCGTGGGAGACGCACCCCGCGCCGGCCTTTGCCCTCGACTCGCCGCGCATCACCCACCACATCATCGACCGTCCGATGGCGGGCAAGACCATCGCCGGTCGCGTTTACGTCCAGCCGCAGTGGGTCTACGACTCGGTCAACGCCGGCTTCCTCCTCCCCACCGAGTGGTACGCGCCCGGTGCCGCCCTTCCGCCGCATCTCTCGCCGTTTGAGGAGTACGCCGAGGGCGACCACGTGCCCGACCAGTACAAGGTCATCACCGACCTCAAGAACGAGCTCTTTGCCTCGGAGGAGGTCAAGGCCAAGCTGGCCGCCAAGGCCAAGGCCAAGGCCCTCGAGGAGGCCCGCGCCACCGGCATTCTCTCGCTCGATGATGCCCAGCGCGAGCAGGTCTATTCGGAAGAGCTCCTTGCCGAGCAGCTCGGCATCCCCTATACCCGCTGGGCCAAGATGTCCGAGGAGGAGCGCGAGGCCGTCGTCAAGAACGCGGCCGAGCCCATCGGCCCGAGTCACTCGGACGATGACGCTGCGCCCGCCGGCGACAAGACCAAGGCCAAGCGCAAGCGCGTGTCCAAGCAGCAGACCCGCTCCGTCGATGACAACCTCGACACCATCATGCTCTCCAAGAATAAGCGCCGCAAGTACAACTCAGTCATCAACAAGCGTGAGTCGCGGAAGCGCAAGGCCGACATGCTCGCCTCCCGCAAGGCTGCGCTGGAGGCCAAGGCCAACAAGTAAAACAAGCTCCTGAAATCCGTTCTCATCACCCGCCTCTCACTTTACTACAACGGTGGAGCGGCCTCGATCTCGTTGCGAACAGGGTCGAAGAACGGCGAGGCCAGCGCCTGGGTCGCCGTCCACCGCGACTCGTGGTCGCAGGTGAGGAGGCCGGCGACAAGCTCAAAGCCGGCTGGGTCCGCCATGTGTGCGTTCTTGGGCGTGACGCGGTCCTCCCACGCCACCGCAGGGTGCCCACGGAGGAGCTCGAGCTCTTCCTCAAGCAGGTGCACGCCCATGCGGTACTTGTCGAGGTAGGCAAACATGACGTCCGACGACACAACTTCGGTGATGGCCACCAACTGGTTGAGCCACGAGCCGCGCGCCCGGATGAACGGGTTCCGCCCGTCCGACGGGAGGAAGAGCATGGCGGCGAGCGTGCACCCGATGGCCCAGATGTCGACCGGCGGGCCGTAGAGGTCGTACCGAAGACAGAGCTCCGGTGCCTTGTAGCAACGCGTGCCGAGCGGACCATAGTTGGGCACGCCCGGCTGCCACCGCGCGGCAAGACCCCAGTCGGCGAGCCGAAACTGCGTAGTCTGCGGGTTGTACAGGACGTTCGACGGCTTAATGTCGAGGTGGAGGATGTTGAGCGAGTGCGTGTACTCGACAGCCTTGAGCAGCTTGTACATGTAGACGCGCGCCGTACGCAAGTCGATCTGCGCAAACAGATCGCGGTGCGAAATCGACGACACAAACTCAAACACCATGGCGTCGTCGCGGTACTCCTCGTCCTCGATCACCGCCGTGCAGAGCAGCCGCACAATGTTCGGCCCCGACCGGACCGCCATCAGCATCTCCACCTCGCGCGCAATCTTGCGCTCCAAATCGCGCGTCTTCTTGAGCATCTTGAGAACAACCTCGGACGAGTCACGGGTGTCGACCGCCTTGAACACTGCCCCAAACTTGCCCTCGCCCACCTTGTCGCCACACACGTAGTGGTCACCGTTCTCCCACACGAGCTCAAATGGCTCTGGTGGGTCAAGCTTGCCGGCAAGCAGCAGGCCGACTCCATCCTTGACCCGCACAAGCGTCCGCACCTCGAACATGGCCAGCTCGTGCGGCTCAAACTCGGTGGCAATAAAGTTGTCCCACGAGCTCGTCGGCCCGGCCTTGTGGATGCCGTTGATGCCGATGCCGAACCGCGGAAACTCGGTCGACTCCAGGCACCGGTAAAGGTCCGGCAGGCCTGGGTGCGACGCCGTCCCCGACTGGTACGACCGGTACTTGCCGATCGTGACGCGCAAGTCAGGGTACAGCACCAGCAGCTCGCCGGGCGATGAGGCCGTGAGCTCAAGCACAGTCTTGAGCACGTGACCCGACGAGACCAGGTACGCCGTCGGCGACACAAGCACAATCTCGGCCTTGACAGACACCGTCTCGCCGGCCTTGCCCGCCGGCGACGAGAACTTGAGCTTTTTGCGGCCCACCCGCGCGAGCACCCCAGTCTTGCAGCCTCCGGCCCTCTGGCTTCCCTTCCTCTTCCGCTTGCCGCTGCCCTCCCCATTGTCGCATTCCTCATCGCACGCCTTGGGCGTTGCGCTCATCCGCATCTCTGCCGTCCCAGCTGCCTTGGCGTCAAAAGCCGCCGCCAGTGCCTTGGCCTTTGGCGTGGCAAACGTCTCCGCCGCCCAACCGAGACCGGCCTCGGTTGCCAGGTCGTGCAGCTCAATGTTCCACGCAGACGCCATGTACTCCAAACATGATCTTCCCACATTGCGCCGGTCGCCCAGTGTGCCTCGTGGGTCGCCCAGTCCCACCACCTGCCCCAGCCCATGGTTCCTCACCCGTACGTGAGTCGTCGCTGCTGTCCCTCTCCGCCCTGCCGACTTGGCCACTCTCTCCCCCCCCCCCCCACGGCCCCTCCCGCCCCCTCCCCCTTCCCCTCCCCTCCCCACCCCTTCCTTCCCCCCCTCTCCACCTACCAGCAGTCTGCGGGTCTTGCGCGTCCCCGACGACATCCTTGTTCCCCTTCCACGAGCGGTGTACTTGTCCGTCTCCCCTTCCACCGCGCGCCTTGTTTGCTAAGCCGTCGTGGCGGTGACGACCACCGGCCAAATGACAACCAATAGCAATCGATGGCAATGCCGTGACTGTTGCAACGTCCCAACCAAATCGCCTTTCACCCAGCCACGCAGCAGTCACCCGCTGGCCAGCTGGTCTCCACCAACGCCACCGGGAGGAGGACGGTCCCTGAACGAGACGAGACGGACAGACACTCAACTGTTTGTCACATCATGGACTCGTTCAAGTCGTTTGTGGAGGGCCTTGTGTCCAAGCCGAACATGGTTCCTGCTCGCCAGGCTGCTATCCAGGTACGTGCCCTGCATTGGCTGTGCCACCCCCCTCCCGAGATGGCCGCCTCTCACCACCGCCGCGCCGTCCCTTCCAATGGCCAAAAATATTGTCCCGCCCCTCCCCCTCCCCGCCTGCCCTTCTCCAGTCCGTCCTGCCTGCAGGCTCGCCCTCTGCACCTTGACCTGCAGAGGAGTTCTTCTTCTGTTTATCCTGCAGTACTTTCCCGCTTCTCCTTTCATCCCCTCCCCCTCCCTCCCCCCATCCTTGCGTCCGCGACTGCCGCGCTGATCACGATCGCTCGCGCGACCAGCCGAAGGCCAGCCAGCTGGCCAAAGTCAACCGGCCCCGACTCTGCCCGTCTCCGCCTGACTTTGTCCTGCCCCTACCCTTGGCTGGACTGCCTTGGCCGCCCGCCCGTCCTACCCTCTTTGCTCCTCTTGCCACCTTCCCCCCCCCCCCCCCCACACACTCCGCCCTTGCGTACTCAACTCACCCACCCCCCCTCCCCCCTTCCCCACCCCACAGGCCGCTCATGTCCCGACGTACATGAAGGGCTCGGGTGCGCGCGTCATCTCGACCTCGATGGGCCTCGCTGCCCTCGGCGGCATCGTCGTCTCGGTCGGCATGCTCAACCTCGCGTTCGGCAAGGGCAAGAAGGAGTAAGAAGCCTGCAGACGGATAAACGCTGTTCCACCCCCCCCCCCACCCCACCACCCCCCCCAACCACACACACACACACACATCCTTGGTGCGACGTTTCATCCTCCTGCTACTCATCGCTGTCGCTGCCATCCATATCGCCGTCGCGGCTGGTGTCGATAACCGAGAGCGCGGCGTGGATCGAGTCCTCGTCGGCGGCGGCGGCGGTGAGGAACGGCTCCATCGACAGACCCGAGGCCTCGAGTGCCGCCTGGGTCTCGGCAAGCCGCTGGTTGAGAGCCTCGTCAAAGTCCTTGTCGCGGACGTTGAGCGCCGACGCGATGGTGCGGGCGCGGAGCAAATGCTCGGCGGCCGAGTCCCACTGGTCGGTAGACATCTCGCAGATGGCGGCAAGGAACCAGGCCTCGACCGAAGCCTGGTCGATTTCCAGCGCCGAGGCCAGAACCTGCAGTGCCTTGTCGTACGATTTGAGCTCCATGTACAGCTGTGCGGCAGCGATCTGCAGCTCGGACGACGGCTTCTCGTCGATCGGCAGCGCCGACCAGAGGTTGGCCGAGGCATCGAGCGCGGCCTCGGCATCGTCGTTGCGGCACTGCGAAATGCGCATCGACGCTACCGACTGCAGCGCCTCGTAGTTGGTCTCGTCGGTCTCGACTGCAAGCTGCAGCAGGCGCTCGCACTCGGACTCGGCGTTGTCCTCCTCGCACGCATCGGTGAGGTAAATGTCAGCCATCGAGACAAAGGCGTTGGAGATCTGTCGCCGAAGCTCGCCAGCCTCGACCTCGTTGCCGGCAGCCTCGACCGCCGCAAGCTCCTGCTGCATGATGGCCACCCCGCGCGAGTAGTAGCTCACAGCATCGGAGCCTGCCGAAAGCTGACCCATGTACATGAACCGCGCCGGCGAGCCGCCTTCGGGCGCCACCTCGATCGCCCGCTTGAAGGCCTCGATGGCGTTTGTGGCGTCGCCAACCTCGAGCATGACCTCGCCCAGCAGCTCCAAAACGGCCACCGAGTCGGGCGCCTCGTCACGGGCACGCAGCACAAACTTGAGTGCCGCATCCGGCTTCATTCCAGCCATACATGCCTCTGCATGCCCCAATAGCTTGGCCACATTGGCACTGACCTCATCTGCGGCCATGGCTGTCGCACAACCAACTCGCGTAGTCCGGAGATGGATGCCAATTGGATCCGTGCCGAGTCTTCCTGGCGCGGACAAAGGGGCGGTTGGCCAAGGGGATGGACAACAGGTGGCTCACGTGTAGTAAGCACAAACAAGAGAGTGAAGAGAGAGAGCAGCCGGTGGTTGTGGTGCTTCCTTCCCTGCCTTTGGATGCGGCGGATGTAGTTGAGTGGTACCCGCCCCCTCCTTCTCCCCCTCCCCCCCCCCCCCCCTTCCCCCACACGCCTAGTCCTGCTGATGACTGACCTCCATGTTAGCTACAACACCAGCTACCACGTTCGATATGCTGCGACTTTGGACAGTATCTTCTTCTTCTGCTGCTGCTGCTACTTCTGCTGCTAATGTCATCCCATCGTGTTCACATCATCCAGCCCTGGTAATCGAGCATCAGCTCATGCTGTGGCTCTTGCCTGACCACCTCTGGCTCGACTGGCTCAGCCTCACCTCATCTCACCTCACCTCACACTGACAAACACACTCTCACACACTCACACTCACACACACCGCACTGTGTATACTCTCTCTTCACCACCTCCGACACACTACACATGGCTGCACCGTCAGCCGTGGCGGCGGCACAGGCAGCGCTGGACTCGCTCGGCAGCACAGCGACGACCACGCTGGTGGTGGACAATGGCGGTGGGAGCATCAAGGCAGGACTGGTTGGAGCGGATGGCACGCCGGTGATGGTGCCCAACGTGGCGGCCAAGCCGCATGCTGTCCGCAGGTCATACGTCGGCGCTGAGGTTGCCGAGGCCACCAATCGCAATCGCCTCTACCTCCGCCGCCCCGTCGATCGCGGCTACGTGACCAACTGGAACTTGGAGACCCGCATCTGGTCGCATGTACTCCGCGATACAGGCGCCGATCCGAGCGCGTCGACCTTGCTCATGCTCATGCCCATGTTTGCCCCGCCGTCAATCGCCGTCGATGCCGTCGAGACGCTGTTCGAGGATCTCGGCTTTGCCGCCCTCGCCCTCTCCACCCCGCCAGCCATGGTGGGCCGCGACTATATGGCCCGGACTGGCGAGCCCGGATGCCTTGTTCTCGATGCCGGCTTCTCGTTCACCCACGCTCTGCCGTTCTTTGGAGGCACACCGGTCACGTCGGCCGTCCGCCGCCTCGATCTCGGTGGGAAGGCCCTGTCCAACCATCTTGCGGCGCTGCTGTCGTACCGGACCGTCGACCTCCGCCGCGACCCCATGCTGGTCACCCACATCAAGGAGACTTGCTGCACCGTTGCCTCTGACTACTTGAGTGTCGTCAAGGGCCTCTCTGGCGACGGGCCGGCCTCACCCGGCGAGCTCCGCAACTCGCTCACCGCCCGCTACCTCTTGCCCAACTACACGACCGTGAGAGAAGGGCGGATGCTGGCCGACTCTGAAGACGATCCGGAAAACATGCAGGTTCTGCGCTTTGCCCTCGAGCGCCTCTCGGTCCCCGAGCTGCTCTTCCACCCGTCCGATGCCGGCCTTGACGAGTGCGGCGTCCACGAGCTGATCGCGGACGCCGTCGCCGCTACCCCGCAGCTCATGCGTATCCCGCTCTACAACAACATCATCGCCGTCGGCGGCTCGACTCTCTTTCCAGGCTTTCTCCCGCGCCTCGAAGCCGACCTCCGCCCGCTTGTCGAAGCCTCGTATGACCTTACCCTCCATCGCCCGCCGCCTCAAGAGTCTGCCATCGATCACGCCTGGCACGCCGCCTCACGCTTCGCCGCCTCGCCAGCCTTCAGCGACCACATCGTCACACAGGCCCAGTTTGCCGAAGAGGGCTTTTCTCGCATCGAGTCGTTCTTCCTCGATCTCGCGCTGTAGCCATCCATCCATTGCACCTCCGCGCCCGCACCCGCACTCCAGCCGGCCGCAGCTACTCACACCCGCCCCACTTCATATCACCCAACTACCCCCCTCCCCCACACACACCACACACACATACACACCAGATTATGTTCCACTCCTACCACGCCGCCTTTCTCGTCGAGGCACCGTACGCCCCCCTCCGTCCCCTACCCTGCTCCCCGGCGTCTCGGCCATCGTCAGCCACTCACCCACCGCACACCACATCACGGCATCGGCATGGACAGTAAGACCAAGGTGGCCAAGGCGCTGGCTCGGATCGCAGAGGATACGCCTGGAGCTGTCTATCGCGGCATTGCCAAGCCCAAGCCTGAGCACGTTGTCAGCGTCTCGTTCTACACCCGATGCTGCAAGTGGCTTGATGAGGCGAGCTTCACTGTTGTGCCGGTCGAGCATGACCGGGGCTCCTCGTACATCATGGCCTACGCCGAGTCGACCAACTTTTGCTGCTCGTGGTGTCCCTCGTGCATCCGATCATGCTTTGCCTGCTGCGACTTTGATGACTGGGGCAAGAACGAGGCCCACATCCGCGCCATCGTCGATGGTCTCAAGTACGCCACTACAGAGCTCCACGCCGAGCGCGGCGGCGACGCTGACGATCTCCGTGCCCTCTTCGATCGCTCCTCCAAGGCTGCCTATACATATCGCGGCATCAGTGACAACACCACCACTGCTACCGCCACTACCTCGGCTTCGGCCACGGCATCAGCCGCTTCAAACTCCTCGTTGTCATCGTCCTCCTGATCGTCCTGCACTATCCACAGGATCCAGTAGAGCACGTCATAGCGCATAACCGTGGATTAATGGCCCCATAATTGCATCACAGCCTTCTCCTGCCGCTGCCTCTGCCCGTGTCACCGTTCACGATGCTTTGACTTCACCGCTGACCGGACTTGCAGCAGATATGATGACGTGCTCATGGCGCAAGCACGCGCAGGCACTGACCAGCAATACAGCGCATGGCACACTCCCTCACCCGGACACAGAGTCTGTTGTTGCACCCACACTCGACTCCCAATCATGTTCCACTCATATCGTGCCGTGTACCAGGTCGCCGCTCCGTATGTTGAGCCACAGAGCGGGCGGGAGAGTGAGCTTGGAGGCGGCCGGCGGACGAGGTGATAGCGACTCACGACCAGCTCGACCGCAGGAAGGAGACGGTGGCAAGCGTGATCAACTCGAACATAGAGAGCATTCCCAAGGTAGTTAATGATGGTATGACAGAAGACCGGAGCCGAAACTCGATCATCGTCAATGCTCGGTTCTACACGGCCTCGTGCAAGTGGCTCGACACCGGACGGTTCGAGATGGTGGACACTCGAGGCGGAGAGACCCTCATCCTGGCCTACGCAGAGTCGACCAACTTTTGCTGCTCGTGGTGTCCCTCGTGCATCCGATCTTGCTTTGCCTGCTGCAACTTTGACGACTGGGGCAAGAACGAAGCCCACATCGATGACACCGTTGCTCTGCTCGCCCAACAAGGTGGTGCAACTAAGCTGATGGGCGCCCGTGGCGGCGATCTGGACGACCTCCTGTCGGCCGTCTCCTCCTCAGATGGTGTCTACACCTTTTCCGACAGCAGCGATGCCGTGCCCGACTATGGCTCGACATCGCAATAGTCGCATCGCAAGCCACCTGCTGACGCCTAGCCAAGTAGACCGGCATGTTGCCATCGTCGTCTTTGCCACCTGGCCAGTTTGTCAATATCAACCATCAATGTAGCACCATGTTTGGTATTTCCTATACATGACTCGAACTCTCCGTCATCGCCCTCTGGATGCCCGCATCCATCAAACCGCAGACGTCACGTGTCCACGTCAAGTGGCAGCAGCCATCTTCCACCCCACCCCCACCCCCCACCTCACCCCACCCCCACCGCCACCCGGGCCCACTGCCTACGAGCCCTTCCCTCCACATCCACTGTGAGAGACCTCGTCCTGATGCTGACACCAGCGTCGACGTCGTCACGGTCGCCTGCACCCTCGCTGGCTGAGCGTGTGCTCATGCGACTTGGTGCTCGCCTTGTCTCGCACCCTCGCTACGCCTGCCTCTGCCTGGCTCTTGTCCTGGCCACCCTCTTCTACTTTGGCGCAAACTCGTCCACTCGTACGGCCTGATCCTTTCCCCTCCTTTCCTCCTCCCCCTCCCTCCCTCGCTGCACTCATGCTCCTGCTCACTCGCCGATGACTGCACAGGCGGCTTTGACGGACCGCCCAAGCGCAGGCAGGAAATCGTCTCGCACACGTCGGCGTCCATGCCGGATTCGACCGACGCAGGCTCTACATCAAGTGGGACCGGTTCCGGGACTGACAAGCCTGATAGAGCCCACGGCCGCAAGCCCGAAAGGCAACATGGCGGATCGCACAAGCGGGACATCCGATACGGACCGGTGGCAAAGTGCGCACGAGCTTGGGCCAGGGCACATAACGACGAGATGGCGGCAGTGAACAAGATGCTGGAGGCCGAGGGCGTCGATGGCTCACAGGGCTGTGTCCGCACCATGCCCGCCTCGCTTGTCGACAGCTACACTCAGGACGGCAAGCTGGGCGTCGACTCGTGGTACAAGTGCCAGCCGTTCCAGGGCCACACCGAGACGGTGTACACGACCCAGCAGATCGACGACAATCTTCTCCGGATTGCGCTGGGCAAGAAGCTGTACTACAAATACGCCGCTTTGTTTATGTACAAGGCTGCGGCGGCCTTTCCCTGGGCCGGCAAGGACGTGGCCATCATGGGCTCACAGCGGCCCAACTTTGAGTCGATCTGCATCTACTACAACGCCTCAACATGCACCACTATTGACTACCACAAGCCCATCTCCAAGGACAGCCGGCTGCAGACCATGACCATCGACGAGTGGGATGCCGCGCCGCGCCGCTTCGACGCTGCCATCTCGGTCTCCTCGTTTGAGCACGACGGCCTCGGCCGCTACGGCGACCCGCTCAATCCCGACGGCGACCTTGGCGCCGTAGCCAAGATGTCATGCGTTCTCAAGCCGGGCGGCATCCTCTATCTCTCTGTCCCGGTTGCCAAGGACAAGATCGTGTGGAACATGCACCGGGTCTACGGCCGCCTCCGTCTGCCCAAGCTCCTGGCCCCGTTCACGCTGCTGGACGTGATCGGTGACAACCAGCTCAAGGAGCGCCTCAACGGGTGCGACTCGGGCGCCCACGGTGACTACCAGCCCATCTTTGTCCTCCGCAACGCCCCGCAGCCGCATCCCTACTTTAACGCGGAGCGTCTCGACGAGCTGTTTGGCGCCTCAGAGCCACTCTTGGCCGACGACTCGGCCCCGCAGTGCTCGTCAACTCCCACTCTGCGTCCTACTTAAACGCTCTCACACCCGTGCTCCATCCCATCCCGCTCTCGTTCTCATCTACTTGTGCTTGCCCGGCCCGGCCTGTCACTCTAGGCGCCATCACTTGGCAAACTGTCAGGCGAAGCCACACTCCTCCCGACCCCCCCCCTCCCCAACCCCTTCCACCCTCACCCCTTCCACCCCCCTTCCACCCCCTCACCCATTCCCCTCCTTTTACATGAGTACTGACCGCCGCCGAGGCCGGGTGGTGCGGCAGTCGCGCAAGTCGCGGTCCATGGTCTGGGTCGTCAAGTCGCCAGCATGCCTCACGTGCCGGGTACCCCTCGGCCTCCGCCACCGCAAGCACCACTGCTACGTCTGCGGTGAGCTCTTCTGCGCTTCTTGTGTGGCATACACTGTCCATGACTCTGGCAATGATGGCGTGCGCACAAAAGCTCGCCAAGCCTGTGCCGTCTGCTGGCTAACAGATGCCCGCCAGGAAGCCATTGTCCTCCGCGACCGCCTCCATGCCGCCGCCGCCGCATTTGCGTCGTCCATGGCCTTCCCTCCCTGGCCGGACGAGATCGATGTCGAGGCGCATGCCTTGGCGGATGATGCGGATGGCAACAGCGCCGAAGCCGATGTCAAAGCCGCGGATGGGCCCGCCGATGTTGGGGCCGATGCACAGGCCGCTGCCCGCGCCGCACGTGCCACCTACAAGGCCAAGCGCTCGTCGCGGCTCTCGGTTTCAACCACGTCGCTCAACGTGCCACCTGGCCCGGGCACGCCATGCCTTCCAATCGAGCACCTGGCGCTGCCGGGTGCGTCGATCGCCATCGAGGACGCCGGCTCGGACCTCGGCTCGCTCTCCGACTCGGACGACGGCTCGGTGGCGGCATCGCGGCCGCCATCGTGGGGCGCCTCGTCATCGTCCTCGATTAGCATGATCGGTGATACCGAGCCTGGGCCGTCGGGCGAAGAGCCGCCCGCCAGTGGAGACGAGCCATTGCCGCCGGCAGCCGCCAGCGTCGAGGATGGCTCTGCCAGCCAACCCAGGTCTGAGTTTCTGCAGCGGATCTTCTTCACCCTCTCGGTCTCGGAGCTCCACTTTCCCCGTCACCGCATACCGGATTCTATGCCATGATCATGTACTCCAAGCCATGGAACTCGACCGGGCCGTCGACTCGGTATGTCGAGGCTGCGCGGACCGAGGTCATCTCGCGGGCTGGCCACGTCAACTCGGGCTCGTTTGCGACCTTGCTGTCTCTGCACAGGCCCAGAGCCGAGGAGCCGTTTGACCTCTCCCCACTCAAGTTTGCGGTGTACATGTCGTCGGGCGACAACCTCAAGCTGCCGTCCGAAGAGGATCTCGTGGGCGCCATCCGGGTCTCGGGCACCATGCAGCCGGGCCAGCACGCGACGACGGCGCTCAAGACCCGCCGCGGAGTCGAAGTCGGCCAGCTGAACATCCGCGCCGAAGGCGTTGCACCGCCGTTTGACTCGCCATCTCTTGTCGACCACCGGTACAAGTGGGGCGGACTGTATGTTCACGAGACGCTCGAGGCGTCGTCGTTTGCGTTTACAACCGCCCAGGCTGCGCTCATTCTTGCTGGTCAGCGGCACGTGCTTGACCTGCGAGTTGCGCTCAAGGCTGCTGAGGCGACGCTTCGTGAGGTGCAGGCGGAGGCCGCCGAGTTTGACGAGGCTTGCGCCGCTGGGCGTGCCAAGGCCAAAGACCGGCCGCGGTCGCTCTCGGCGCGGGTCCGGGACGCGCTTCTTGATGGGGTCCGCATCTTTGAGCACTTGTACTCGATCCGGATTGGGCTCGCAGCAGCTGAAGCTGGAGCGGTGGACAGCAAGCCGTTCAAGCCATCGACAGCCAAGTCCGACGTCAGTCTCCGGTTTGTGGCCACCAACCTCCACGTGCAGCGCATGTCCGTGGGCACGACGCTGGGTCGGCCGCTGCGGACATACTGCACGGTGACGGTGGGCGCGCCGGCAGATCACGCGTCTGGCTTCAAAGACGGCGGCGGGATCCGCCAGCTGGAGGCCAAACTCATGGACGCCATCCGGGCGTCAGCGTCGGGGCCAGCTGACGTCGATCTTCAGGAGCTGCAGTGGCGGTTGCTGGCCCGGCGCGACGCTGCACAGGCGCAAGCACTCGCAGCGCTTGTCACCGCCTTTGTCGCCAACTTTAACAACGCAGTCCGGGAATTGCTCTACCCGGGCTCGCCAGAGGCCAGGCTGGCTGCCGAAGCTAGCCTCGACCTCCTTGCCCGGTTTGGTTTTGTCTTTGAGCTCGAGTCGCTGCTATCGACTGCTGGCTCAGAGCTGGGCATGCTGGGCGATGCCGAGGCGGCGATGAGATCGCTTCGCTCCGTCCGCATCTTTCTCTACCGGTGGGAGGATGCGCACAAAGCCGGCGAGACGGTACCGGTGCCCAGCGATGCTGCCGAGGTTGATCTGCTCGGCTCGGACACCGAATGGATTGGCATTGTGCCGTGCCTTGTCGACGTCCGGCACTCAGACCTGAGCCGGTCGGCGGCCGAGGTTCGCCTCTGGCTCTCAATGCCTCCCGGCGTAGAAGAACAGCCCGAGTACCCAGATGCGCTGCGGCGGGTACTGAATGCGGCGACGAGTGGTGGAATTGAGGTCTTCCCGATTGTCTTTACGCAGGGTATCAACGAGAAGCAGTCGATGGCCAACTTTGGCACAGCGCACCCGATGCTCTCGTCGCTCTTTGGCAGCTCTGTGGCGCAGAGCGAGATCAACAACGAAAACCTGGCGCAGCTGGCGTCAGTGTATGCCAAGGTGCGCTCGGCGCTCGAGGCGCGGGTTGCCGACGGCGACTTGCTTGTCGCGCCGCTCGACGAGCTCGACGCCCGCCTGGCGCAGATCAGCGAGACTGTGGCGCTGGCGGCGGTCGGCGGAAAGAAGAACGTCTCGGTTCTCACCCAGACTTCGCGTTTTGTGCGGAGGCTCGGAGGCGGGCGGGCGACGTGTTGCAAGTCAGCTAAGGACCGAACGTCGATGGCGGTGACGCTCGAGCAGGCCTCCCTCCTCGCCGACAATCATGGGCTAGAGACCGAAATCCATGCAATGTGTACGGTGATGCGTGCGCTCGGCGTGCGTCGCGAAAACGCGTTTGTCAACGCCGGCCGGCGCAAGTACGCGTTCAACGCCTTCCAGGCCATGCTCCTCCCGTCGGCGTACAAGCCGCCGGCCGGCGCCGGCGGTTCGGTCGTCTCGTAAGGTGCTTTACTCGGGAGTGTACGCCGCTGCGAGCGAGTCCCAGACCGCCACGATCTGGCGCGAGAGCTCGGCCTCGAGTGGCGAGAGGCAAGTAAAGAGCGAGGCCATGCGATCAGCGAGTTTTGCGCGGAAGTGGGCAACCTCGTCGAGGATGCACTTGCGGACAAAGGCGCACCACATGATGCGGTACTCCAGCTTTTCCTTGTGGTGGGCAACGAGGGCCTCTTGCTTGGTGATGTCCTTGGCGTTGCCTTTGGCAACCAGCTGGGCAAGCTTGGCCTCGGCCTCGGCGGTCTTCTTGACGGATCCGGCGTGCTTCTCAAATGGCAGCGCGGCTGCAGCGTAGATCTCGAGCAGCGAGTCAGCGTTGCCCAGCACGTCGCGGAGAACGTCACCAAAGTGCAGCTGCTCCTCGCCGTACTGGTTGCGCGCGGTGTCGGCAAGGCGCGAGGCGGCGACAGTCAGCTCGCCAACCACGTCGCTGACCGGATGGTTGTCGGGCGCCCACAGGAGAGGGACGCCCTGCGGAGTGGCCCACGCGCCAAAGGCGTCGGTAAAGCCGGCCCACTCGGTGGCAAGCTCAGAGCGCTTGGAAGCGAGGCCGTCGGCGGCGATGACCACCGGTTCGATGCGGGTGCGGAAGACGGCCAGCTGCTCCTCGATGGCAGCAACCTGCTTCTCCGAGCTAAGCGGAAGCTTCTCGACGGCGTGCTTGGCGGCGGGGTTGAAGACTAGCTCCTGGTCAAGCTTCTCGAGCTTTTCCTTCTTGAGCTTGGCGAAAGCCTTGGCATCGGTACAGGTGAGGAAGCCCTCGAGATGCTCCCAGCGGAAAACGTCTGACCGCTCGAGGAGGAGGCGCAGGAACTTTTCGAGGCCGCGCATCCTATTCTGGATGAAGAGCTCCTCAAAGCGGCCAGCAAACTGCTTGGTAGGGAGCTGCGGGACGAGGCGATACGGGTAGAGGGTGACCAGCCGCTCGCGGAGCCAGACAAAGTCTGAATAGCGACGGTGGACTGAGACGTCTGGCGGCTTCGTGGTTACCAGGTACTCGGTATGTTTGCGGACCTTGCCCTTGGTCACGGGTGCCGAGATAGTAACGACTCGGGCAGCCTTGGACGGCTTGGAGCTCGATGCGGTGGCAGTGGTGGCCTTGGACGCCGAACGCGACGGAAGGGTGGCCATCGGCGGCGCAGTAGAGGTCGGAGAGGTCGAGCCAAAGTCGGCCTCGGAGCCAGAAGCAGACAGCATGCCCTCCGTGTCGTCAAACATCGAGTCGCGGATGCCGCCCTGCGGCACAGCAGGTGCGTCGGGCACGTTGGACGGCGCAATGACCAACTCCTCAGGAGGAACAAAGGGGTTGCCGTCGGCGGCGGCGGCAGCCTCGTCGAGGGCGGTAAAGTAGGCGACGACTTCGTCCTCGTCAAACTCGGGCCACTCGACGCCGTCGAAGACCGGCGGCTGGAGCACGACAGTGTTTGCCGGAGGGTCAGAGTGCCAACCCGGTGGGATCGAGGTCATCACACCTTCACCGCGCTGGATGAGGGCAATGAGCTTGAGCGCGGTGAGAACCTGGTCGTGGTCGAGGGCGCCCGTGAGTGCAGTATCGACGCGGTCCCAAACTTGGGCAAGAATCGGGCGCGGCAGCGACGACATGACAAACTTGGCCACCGCCGCACGGCCGCCTACCGTCTCTTCTTCATCCATGACCCAGTCTGCAAGGTAGTCGTAGATGGCACGGACCTGGAAGACCGACTCAATCGACTTGAGCGACGACAGCTCGGCGTCGACCGCCAGCGTCCGGCAGCGGTCCTCTTCCGACGGAGCCATGGCCGCGTGGATGGTTTGAAAAGCGGTGTCGGGCGCCGATGTGTCGGGCGCCGATGTGTCGGGTGTCTCGGCCTCTGCCGGCTCCGGGTCCGAGTCAGCACGTGCCGGCGGAATCGGCGGGTTGGCACGGCGTGGCGGAGGGGAAGGGCATTCCTGCTTGGGCTCGGGCTGGAGCTCGGGCTCGGGCTCGGGCTCGGGCTCGGGCTCGGGCTGGGGCTCGGGCTCGGGTTCGGGCTGGGGCTCGTCGTCGTCGTCGGAAGAGCTCACGTCCGACTCGACCGACAGATGGTCATCGGGAGCAGCAGGGGCAGGGATGTCGGCCAGCACGTCGGCATCGGCCACGGTAGTAGCAGCAGGCTCGGCAACGGCATCGGTAGCGGTATCGGTCGTAGCAGGCTCAGCAATGGCGTCGGCAACGGAATCGGCAACGGGTGCAGCAGGCTCGGTCTCGAGCTCTGTCGGGGGACGCGGACGCGGCGGAGGGCGCGGGCGAGGAGGGGGGGACGGACGCTCCATAGGCCGTGAGGGGAGTCTCACACGGAAGAGAGAGGTGTGGGCGGATGGTGTAGTTGGGTGGGTGGGTGGGGTGGGGGGGGGGGGAGGCAGAGGTAGGTGCCTCGAGAAACCTCTGGCATTTGGCCACGTTGCCACACGTGCGACAGGGGGGGGGGGGGGGCATCGGTCTCCGCAGCAGTCCAGCATGGTCGATGAGGCAATGAAGGGGGTGGGCGGGGAGGGGATACGGATTCATTGTGTGGGTGGGTGCGCTCGAGATCAGCAGCGGGTAGAGGGCGTCATGGCTTGGTGATGATGACATGGAGGGCCTTAACCCAGGTGCGACGCAGGGCGTCGGTCGGCAGGCCAAAGACAAAGACCTTGTTGCCTCGGCGGAGCTCAAAGGTGTGAGTGTGGCGAGAGACAGGGAGGGTATCGGGCCGGTCGCCACCGCGTGCACGGCGGCGGGATCGGCGAGGGCGGTGGCGGGCAGAGGCGTGCGGTGTGGTAGACGCCATGGCCGCGTTCATCCGCTCCATCTCAGCCTTACGAGACGCCTCGTCCTCGGCAACGGCGGCACCCTCCATGCAGTCGGCATACTCCTTGTCAATCGAGCCTGGAGCGTCCTCCAGCAGCTCGCACTCGCGGAGCGGGAGGATGATCTTGGCGGCGCGCTTGAGTGACTGCTTGGCGTAGTAGTCAGCCAGATCGCGAAGAACAAAGAGATGCTCCTTGACGACGGCGACCCAGCGGAGCTTGGGCTTCTTGAGCGCACCTGCTACCAGTCCGCAGGCCTTGTCCTTGACCTTCGCCACCGTCACCACCATCCAGGCGTCCGACACGGTGGCCAGCGGCCGGGCGACGACTGACGGAGCCCGAGCGCCACGTATAAAGCCAGTCCGTGCCACCACCGGTCGCCCATCCTCCCATCCGGGAAGCATACCCGGTCCGATGACCACATCCACCGCCTGAGCAGCCACCACAGCGTTCTCGGTCGACGGGGCAGCCACAGGTCGTGGCCCGCTCGGCACCTGTGTCTCCCCCAGCTCAGTCCGGAAGGCAGCCACCAGCACAGCCGGTCCCTCGTCGCTCATAGTGCAACAAAGGGGGAGGAGAGGAGAGGAGGGTTATGTGTGTGTGTGTGGGGGGGGGGGGGGGGAGGGTAGGGGAGGGGAGGGGAAGGGGGAGGGGGGAGGGAGGGGGGAGGTTCTTCGAATCGCCTGCCGGGTGACCGGTGACCGGTGGCTGGTGGCTGGTGGCCGGTGGCCGGTGGCTGGTGACCGGTGGCCGGTGGCCGGTGGCTTGGAAGTGACGGATGGACGACATTGGCGTGCGGCGTGAGCCGCCGTGTTCCTCTCTGCGGGACATGACCACATACTGTTGCACACACATCTCACCACACATACACACATACACACATACACGTGCGTATACCTACGGGGTTCATAAGGATATACTCGCTTGCTACAACAACGACTGCGAGTGGTGACGTCGCGCGACTGACGGCAAAGACGACGACAACGGCAGACCAAAGGCAGTCGAGGAGATTCTGGCTGGGGCGAGGGCACGATGGAGAACGGAATCAGATGGATGGCGGTGATGGTGATGTTATTGGCGATGATGGTGGTGTGTGTGGAACGTACCGTCGGACAGACAGACTGTGGGACGCTGACCGAGTGCGGCAGCTGCGCCGAGAACACCGGCGGCATCGTCTGCGGTTGGTGTAACGGGACCATGAACGCGTGCTTGCCCGTGGTGGCCGAGGGCAATGGCTATCGTGGCAACTGCACCACCGGTAACAACCTTATCATCCAGGCCCCGTTCTGTGACCCAGACTACGAGCCGGTTGACCCACCGTCAAAGTCGACCGCCGATCAGATCCGCGACTGGTTCGACGACAACCTGCTCTACGTCATTGCTGGTATCATCATCATTATCTTTCTTTGCTGCCTCTGCTGCATCATCATGTGCATCCGCTCCAGATCGGCGGACAAGAAAAAAGAAAAGAAGCAAAACGCTGCTGTCGCCGCTGTCGCGGGCAAGGGCAAGGGCAAGGATAAGCAGTCCAAGGAGGACAAGACCAAGGCCAAGCAAAAGGCCGCCCTGGCCGCCATCGCAGGCACAAGCGCGGGCGCTTCGGCTGCGGGAGGCGCAGGCGCCGCAAAGGCTTCGCCAGCACCCGCATCAGCCTCGCTCGACGACGTCAAGCTCGACGACCTCGCCGCCGAGGACATGGTCGACGACATGCTCGGCCAGGACGACAACATGTTCCTTTAGGTCGACGACGAAGATGACATCTGCGTGTCTGTTGATGAGACTGAGCTCGCAAAGCTGTTGTCCGTTGCAGATGCAGACGCTGCTGCCGCCGACGCTGACCACGAGCCGACGCCCCGGCGCGTTTGCGCCGTCCGAGCCTCGACAACGTGAGCATGCATCGGAATGATCTCGAACCTTACTTGTCCAAGCTCAGCCTCCTTCGAAAGCCAGTGGCCAGCAACGCCTGCGGCCATGACAAACTCGCCGAACGGCGCGACCCATGTCCGTGAGTCGCGCCCATTGATGGCGCGGTTGACGGCAATCGCCACCGCGAGGATGGCTGCTCCGAGGGCAGACGTGGCAAGCGCAAGTAGCCGGACCCGATACACCACCATCGGTGACCTCAGCCAATGAAGCCATGCACATAGCCGCCGCCACGAGCCCCGGCTTCCGGGGCCCGGTGCAGTGTTGAGTCCCAACGCCATTCGCAGCCGCCACATCCGTACATCCTCCACTTGGTACCAGATCGAGCCGGCAAACATCATAGCTGCGCCTGTCGAGTGTGGAATCTGCATGTGGATTTCCTGGAACGAGGCAACGAGGACAAAGCCGACAACAACGCCAATCGCTGCGATCTTGGACCGCCGGTTACAGGCCACAAAGGTGGCCAGCTGCGCCAGCCCCCTCTCCGAGGCGTACGGCAGTGCCAGTGCCACCCGCCGGGTGGCATCAAACGCTACCGCCGGAAACCCGATCATCATCGCACCAGCAAGCACCACCAGGCCGCAGGTGAAGAACGTCGACTGCGGCGGATAGTCGCCGGTCTCTGAAATGTACGACACGTCGCGCTGATCGTAGCCATCATCGTAGGCAAAGAACAAGGCGTAGACAACCACAAAGCAGAGAAAGCAGAACAGCAGCGAGCCTCCTGCCAGCCCGCCCAGCTTGATCACCGTCTTGCCCTCCTCCTCTACACCCATCGCCTGTCCGCTCTCGGCTTCGCCACTCGCCGACCATTCGGACGGCGACGAGACGGAGCTGCCGCTGCCACCACTGCCGGCACTGCCGCCTGCGGAAGGCCTTGTCCTCGCACTCTCTCCTGCCGAGCTGGTACTGCTCATGGCTGCCGGTCGCCGTGCTTTCTACTTGTGGCGATTGGTCGTCAAGTGTGTGCCTGGCTGACGAGGGGGGAGGGTGGGCTCGGTCGCTGTCTTCAATACGGGCGCAAGTAACCTGACGCGTCCAGTCTTCAGCCAATGGTGTGCAGCTCGAGGGCACCGGCGACAGAGCCGAGGACGGCGGGAGGCAAGCGGCCGGGGAGTCGCAGCAGGGCGCTAAAGTGAAGCGATGGTGGAGCTGATACGGACGCCTTTGGCGATCGGCTTGCGAGCTCGGTGAGCGGGACGAGGCCGACCGCGTCGACAACGGCCTTGACCCGCGAGACAATGCGGACGTGCATGGTTAGCTCGGCGGCTTGTGCCGGCGTCACCATGTCGGCAAGCGGGAGGCGCGGCGCCTGCCATTGCGAAGATCGTGCGTCGGTGACCGAGAGCAGCGTCGCCTCAAACCAGGCAAAGCCGGTCTCGTCGCGGACGCACGCCACGCCACCATCAACGTACGCCGCGAGCAGGCCAAACTGCAAACGGCACTTGCCCGGCAGAGTGTCTTCCAGAACGGCCACAACGCTCGGCGGAGACGGCACGATGGTCAGCCGCGAGCGGCAGTGTGGCGAGAGCCGGGCCGGAAGCGCCGCTTTCTTGGCGTTGCGGATGATGGCGAGAGCCTCCTCCAGCGACAGTTGCTGTTCAGAGACCGGCGCCAGGTGGCCAGCTCGCGGCGGCGTGCTATGCGCCGGCGGCATGCTCGCCACCGAGACCGAGTCATGCTGGACCGACCGCTCAAAGACGCCGTCGGCATCCGAGATGTCCGAGTCGGTATCCTCGCTTCGGCGCGCGGCGCGATGCCGCACCAACTCGACAGACCGCTCAAAAACAATCGACGCCGGGTCGTCAAGGTCGTCATCGTCGCCGACCCATGACGACTCGACTGAGCGCTCAAAGACGAGCTCGCGGCTGGCGCCGGCCGACCGAGGCGACCGCGGCGTACGCGGCGCCGACCGCGGCGACGACCGTGCTGACCTAGGTGACCGCGGCGTCCGCATGGCTGAGACCACAGTGAGCACTCCGGGATCGTCATCGGCCTCGGCCTCGACCGTTCGCTCAAAGATCATGGCAGGTGTCGACGAGCCAAGCCGCCCGCAGCTCGACGTGCCACCGTCCACGGCATCGTCATACACGCGCGTCCGCTCCGACAGCGTCGCCACCGTCGAGCTGAAATCAATCGAACCGTGATGCGCCATACTCGACGAGCAGCCGGCTGACGTCGCTCTCCCGCGTCCTGCGCCGGTCGATGCCTGCGAGGCCTGAGAGTCATTGAGCGGGATGTTGCCGCTGCCCTTCCCCCACCGCTGCTGCGCCTGGTTTGGCGCCTGCACAAACTCAATCTCCGCCACAGAGAGCTCGTCGGAGTCCAGCACTGACGAGTACTCGGCGAGGCCGTGGGGCCTGCTGCCTGGCCCACTCTCGGCTCCACTCTGTGCTTCCCCAGCTCCGGCCGCCTCTGGCCCCCCGACAGCTCCCTCGCTCCTGCCCTCCTCGTCCTCGGCCTGGGCCTCGGGAGGCGGACGCCGGCAGCACCACATAGTGTATGCTCGGGGAGTGAGTGAGTGGGAGAGAGAAACTGTGTCGACAAGTCCTTGCTTCCCACCTGCAGCTCCTTGGAAGGCTCCGTACGGGTGGTTGTCGCGCTGCGGTAGGTGACGCAGCGCGTGGCGGGACGGGCCAAACCCCGTCAGCAACAACAGAGGTGGGAGTTCATTGCCGGGCGACGCCTCGCCCGTCGGGGATGAGAGCGACGAGCTCGTCAAAGTTAGCCTTCCAAGCCGCAGCGTTGGCCTCGGCGGCTGCGTCCTGGGCTGCAACGCGCTCGAGAAGCGCCTCGTTGTTGGCGAGGAGCGCAGCGTGGGCCTCCTTAAGCATGGCGGTGGCGGCGTGCATGTCGTCGCGGGCGACGGCAGCGCGCTCGAGCTCGGTAGTGAGCGCGGCAATCTGACGATTGAGCGCCTCGACCGTGGCTGAGAGCTGGGCCGAGTGCGCCTTTTCACGCGCCGCTGCAGCCTGGAGATGGTCGATCTCGGCGCAGAGCGCTTCGGCGTTGGCGGCCGGTGGCGCCGAGGCCATCGCTGACGGGGGCGGCTGGCCGAGCGAGTCGATGTGGCAGAGGAGTGCCGACTTAAACTGGGCACGAAGCGCCGAGGCCGACTGTGGACCATTGGCGAGGACGTCCATGAGGGCATCGACGACATCGTCGACCGGCTCCCGCGGCACAGGCCCGGTCCGCCGCGGCGACGGCACGAACACCAATGCCCGCTGGGTCGACGACGGCGCCGGCGGCAGCGCCTGTCGCGGTGCAGGCGTTGGCGACTCGATCAGCGCCGAAAGAAGGGACGGCGACGGTGGCGGGTGTGGGCGCGAGATGCGCGAGGTGCGCGAGGCTGTCGCTGTCCGCGTCTGCAGTGGTGGGGAGACAGGCGCCGGCGTCGGCGGCGCCAGCCGGGCGGCGGCACGGCGCTCCGACTCGCGCACGTCACGCTCGTCGAGGCGGGTGAGGTTTGGAAAGGCGGCAATGACCCGCAGCCGATACGACGGTGCAACCTTGGAGACCGGGTTGAGCCGGAGGTCGAGCTCGCGGAGGGCCGGGAGCGCAGCGAGCGGAGCGAGCGCGTCGAGATCCGGAAGCCGGTTGTAGTACAGATTGAGCTTGCGAAGGTGCGGAAAGGAGGACGAGGCGAGCGGGTCGATCGAGGTCAGAGCGTTGCGGGAGAGATCCAGGACTTCGATGCCGGTAAAGGCGTCCAGGGCGTCGCCGAGCTCGGTCACCTTTTCATCGTGGATGCCCGGCAAGACCAGTGAGCGGATCTGGCTGGTATCTGCCGAGTCCGGCAAGAGGATGCGGGAACAGACCCATGCGTGGTCAATGCGCATGGTTGCTGCTGCTCGAGTTGGGCGCGGCGTTCTCCTGGCTCGGTGTGTCGGGCAGGGCGGCAAACTTGGTCCTCAGCTCGGCGGCAGCGGTCTGGAAAGCCTCAACCTGTGCGTCGGCTTCGGCAAGCAAGCGGGCAACCTGTTTCTCACAGGCCTCCTTTAGGTACTCCTCCACCGTAGTAGCCTTGGGTTGGCCAGACATTCACCGTGTGGCGCCAAGTGTACCCCCTCTACACACACACACCGTCTCCCCTTGCTGCTTCCCGCCTCCCAGGAAAAGGTCGTGAACTTGAAACCCGCCTTGGCGCCAAACCAGCCCGATCGATCGCGCGCGCGCAAATGGCCGACAAGCTACGGCACACGCCGCCTCGCCACAGGCAGCGTCACAAGTCTTCTTGCAACCGTTGTCTCGCAGGAGACGTCCACTCTCTCTCTCTCTCTCTGGAGACTTCCCATCACCCAAAGGTCTAAAATAACTGCGCCTTGCGCCATGGAGCGAAGGCTGACCCAGGTCCGGAGGGACGAGATCCTGCGCCGGTTGGAAGACGAGCGCAAGGCCCGCCGGGCAAGGAAGGAGACAGGCGACAGCGCGTCGAGCGAGGACCAACCGGCCAAGACAAGCACACCCCGTAGCAGTGAGGCGGCTCCGCGTGATGCTCGGAGGGATGCGCTTGTTCAGCGCCGAGCCAAGAAAGCTGCTGCCGCCGCTGCCGCCGCTGCCGCCGCCGCCACTGACCAAGCCGGCCAAGCCGGCCTGAACGCCGACCTGGGCGCCAAGCCTCAGTCCTCATCCGCATGAGCCCACCGCACCGCCGTCACGTCCACTTTGATGACGACGCTGGCGGCGATGGTAGTGATGGCAGCAGCTCCGGCGGCGCAGGCGCGGAGAACGGCTACTTTGCGTTCTCGTCGCTCTCGGGTGCAGGGTCGGGCAACGGCGAGTCCGATGCTGACGGGCGACTGGACGAGCCGGCACCGCTGCCGCCACACATGATGACGATGACGCAGCCGTGGCTTTCACCGATGGCGGGCAAAAGAGCAAGTCCAATGCACGGGCCGCCGGCCAACACGGCAGCGCGGCGGTCGCGGCACTCCAAAGACAAGGTGCGGCTCGAGGTCGAGGCTGAGTTTGAGGAGCAGCACACGTTCCGGCCGCAACTCTCGACGTCATCGAAGCGAATTGATACAGCGAGCAGGGAGGAGCGGCTGGCGCGGCTGGCCGAGGACAAGTCCAAGTTGTACGTCGAGCGCGAGAAGCTGCGGCTGCAGCGCGAGCAGGACGAGGCGAAGCGGTTGGCTGCCGAGCGGAAGCGGCGATCGTCGGCGCGGCGTGCCGGCGTGCAAAAGTCGCTCAAAGGCCGGCGATCGTCCAGCTCCGAGCCGGTGCAGGAGCGGCTGTATCGTGCCGGTGTCGAGGCTGCCGAAAGCCGACGGGAGCGGCTTGTGGCCGCGCAGTCTGAGCTCCCGCAGCAGTGCACGTTCAAGCCGCGGGTGAGCAAGAAGAAGGCAAGCAGGGACTCGTCGCGGGTCCCACTGTACAAGCGAGTGACTCAAGTCCAACGGTCGAAGAACGCGCGGCTACACAAGCTGCGGATGGAGGTGATGGAAGGCGACAGCAATCTCACGTTCAAGCCGCAGACCAACAGCAAGCGGCGGACAACAAGCAATCGCAAGGCACCAGTCTTTGACCGGCTCGCCAACGCGGCGCAGGTTGCCGAGGCACGCAAGAAGAAGCTCGAGCAGGATCTGGAGCAAGAGCGGGCAGAGCAGTACACGTTCAAGCCGAAGATCTCGGCGCGATCCAAGGCGCTCGTGGCCACGTCGACGGAGCTTGGCGGCGACGCGTTTCTGGAGCGCCAGAAGCGTTACGAAGAGAGGTCGCGGCGTATGAAGGCTGAGGCGCAGGCCGAGGCTGAGGCCCAGCTCGCCGAAGCTTTCCAGCCGGAAATCAATGCGCTTCCGAGCGAGGTCCGCCGTAGCCGCGAGGAGCCATCTGATCCTGGTGAGAGCTTCCTGGAGCGGTGCGAGCGGATGGCGGTGAAGGACTCGGCGCGTGCGCAGCTGTTGCGGGCGAACGCCGAGGAGGAGTACTACTCGCAGTTTACCTTTCAGCCCAAGATCAATCCTGCGTCCCGGGCGCTGGCCAAGGACCGCTCGTTTGCGCAGCTGGCCGAATCGACAGCGCCCAAGGCAGCGGCGGCCGGCGACGCGGTCGAAGCGGCATTTTCCGAGGCTCATCCCTTCAAGCCCAAGCTCAATTCCACGTCGGCGCGGGCCAAGTCATACTTGCGTGACACGTCGAACCTCATGGCCCGCATCGAGGCGGACCGACGGGCCAAGGAAAAGGCGCTCGCAGCCGCACGCCTCGAGCGTGAGGCTGCCGAGATGGAAGAGTGCTCGTTTGCACCGGCGCGTGTGACAGCGTCAACCTCGCCAGAGGCAAACCGGGCCAGGCCCGTCCAGGTCAAGGGTCTTGATAGATTCATGGAGCTGCAGCGGATGCGAGAGGCCAAGGAGGCCGAAAAGCGCGAGCTCGAGCGGCGGGCGTTCTCTGTCTCACACGCCGCACTTGTCGGGCGTCCGCCGACTGCCGATCGCTCGCCACCGGTCGGCAGCCATGCCGATGTCATCTATGCCGCGCGTGCGCCGGCGCCCTCGGTCCACGCCCAGCACAAGCCCAAGCCGCGGCCGCGGTCTGCGTACGTGCCGACCACCAACGCATCGCGACAGCGCGAGCTCATTCGCAAGATTCTTGCCGACGAGGATCTAGTCCCCATCGGCGACGACGACGCGTTTATGTTTGACGAAGAGTAAAACCGAGGCAGAGTCAGCTGGTTTGGGGGAGTCACCTGGGGCCGGCTGCTGGCGGTGGTCGATCCGCCGGACACACGTCGCCGACGGGCAAAGGGGCATGAGCACGGAAAAGGCGGGAGCATTCAGCATTACGGCGCGTAGCGCATGTGGTGCACGGTGTGGTATTGTTGCGGTGTGCGGCGGAAGCGGGGCGCTGGCGACGCCGTCGTGCGTGGTTCCGACCTTCCGCGGGGTCGTCCCCTTTCTGCCGCCGGATGTGGTGGGCCAGGTGGTGGCGCCGCTGGCGGGACGGGCGGGCACGGGGCCACCTGCAGCACTGCTTGTCCAGGGAGATGCCATCAAGGTGGTTCCGGCCGGCTTTGACCAGGGCTTTGCAGCCTTTGCAGCCCTCGATGGTCCGGTCATGGCGGTGGTGGCAGATCCGGCCCGCTACAACATGTCCGGCTCGCGGTCCAAGTCGTCAGTGACGGTAGAGACGCCCGCGGGGCGGACGAGTCTGGACATCGCCGGCTACAAGGCGCTGCTGGCTGGGCTAAAGGCGGACATTGTTGAGCTGCTGGTTGACGTCCCGCAGCCTGGCGCCGGCACTCGCCGATGCGCCAAAGCGCTTGACAACACGACGGCCATGTGGGAGGCGCTGGCGGCGGCGGACGACCGATCAGCCCAGGGTGCCCTGGTTCTGGCGCGGGTGACTGGCGGCGACGCCGGCTCGGTTGTCCAGCAGTCTGTGGCACTGGTACGCAAAATGGCCGGCGCCGAGGTCCTCGGTGGCGTGGTCGGCGGTGTGGTCGTCCCTGACCTGCGCTCGGTCGCTGCCGACTCGGTGACGGCAGAGGGCGGGTACGCATCGGGCGAGGCTGCGCTGGCGGCGGTCGCTGCTGAGCTGCCTGACTCGCTCCTTCGTGTGTATGAGGGTGTGGAGCAGCCGCACGAGATTGTGGCGGCCGTCCGCGACGGCAAGGGCGATGTCTTCTACGGCACTTACCCGACGGCGGCCGCCGATCTTGGCTATGCACTCGAGCTCTCGCTGGCGCACGGGCAGAAGCAGCATGTCAATCTACGCGACGTGAGCTTTGCCGAGTCGCAGGCACCGTTGGTCGCAGGCTGCCCGTGCTACGCGTGCGAGAAGCACACCCGTGGCTATATTCACCACCTGCTTGTTGTCCACGAGATGGTCGGCACCGAGCTGCTCATGATCCACAACCACTACGTCTTCCAGGCTTTCTTTGCTGACATCCGCGAGGCCATTGCGGCCGAGGCGGCCGGCGGAGCGCCGTTTGCCGACATCGCTGCGGCGTTTATGGCGGCGTCGTAGTGTAAGAGCTATCGCGCGACTACTCGGGCGCGAGATGCAGGAGAAGGCCTGGCCGCGGCCCGCCGCCGACGCCGCGTGTGTCCAGCAGAACATTGGCCCAGAGCCACAGCGCCCAGGCAAGGACGTAGTGGAAGATGTTGACGCGGTAGATGCCGCGGAGCTCGCCGCTGACGCCCACAGCGGCCGCCACCACGATGCACGCCGCACCGGCGACCGCCGTGTAGCCGAGCAGCGGATCGACATGGTCCTCGGCCCGGATGCCGGCGCCGGCAGCAGCAAGTACCGCCACCAGCGGCAGCACGGCGCCATAGCCCGGAACTCGCGAGCCGAGGATAATATGGCCGGCAATGACGGCAGCGACGGCAGAGGCCCACATCGAAGGCGGGAGCACCGCGCCGAGTGCGCGCGGAGCCAGGGTAAAGGCCACATCGGCAGCAATGAGTACAATTCCAACGTTTGACGCCGCAGAGGCAAGCTGAGCATGGATCATGCCCAGCATGGAGGCCTTGCCTGCCCCCAAGGCGAACCGCAGCGTGCCGACTGCCGCTGCGGCGGCAACCACGCCCAGACCCAGGGCGCCTGCAGGGACCATGTCGGCAGCAAGCGGAGCAGCAGCGGTGGCCAGGGCGATGGCACGGGCAAAGAAGCCTGCAGTGGCTGCAAGCACAAGGTCGGAGAGGGCCATGGTCAGTTGGACAGGCATGGTGGGCTCGACAGCGACAGGAGTACGGGCCAAGGTCAGGTGGGTTGTGCAGGAGGGGGGGGGGGGAGGGGGGAGGGGCGGAGGAGGCGAAGACCAGTCATGGCCGCCATCAGCCCGTCAGCTGTTTGAGGAGGACTCGGATGGCGATGCAGCTGCGCCTAGCAACTGATGCGGATGGGTCTGTTTGGCACACCGCGTACGTGGATCGTGGCTCACAAGAGCGCCATGATCATTCTGTTGGGAGGGGGGAGCGCATCAGAGGAGACGTGACCCCCCACACACACACACACACATCGATACACCTGCCAGGGTTGCTCATGGTACGGGTGCACCGTCCTCGATTCTGCCAATGGACTCTGAACCGAACAACTGTGGTACAGCAGAGGCCCGGTGCGGTGATGAAAATGGCTTCCACGCCTTCTTCAGCTTCTCTACAGGCCTTCCACTTCGATCGGCAGACCTTCGATAAGAGGCAGGGACTGCGTGGACGCAGCACTACGGCGTATCACACACACACACACACACACACACACACGCAAGCAAACACGCCTCCCTTCCCATCATGCCGTCTTCGCCAACGCAAGCACAAATCAAAGTCGGCAAGGCCAAGGCGTTTGTCAAGAGAGTGGCCGATGTCGTTGTCGCTGCTGGTGGCCTTGTTGATGCTCAGGTGATTACGGCCTCGGGCGACGCTCTGGCGGAGTATGTGCAGTCACCCACCAGGGATGCGCTCAACGCAGTAGTGGCTGCAGAGCGGCGCAAGGCCGAGCAATTGGTGGCTGCGCCAGAGGCGTCGCATCTTACTGCAGCCGTCATCACGCCGCCGCCTGAGCTGTGGGAGCCAATCAACGCCATCCGCGCTGAGCTCGAGCCAAGGCATGTCGACATCTGGCCGCCGCACATCACGCTCTTCTATCCGTTCTGGCCCGTCTCAAGCTGGTCCAATGCCATCGATCCGCTCGCCGCTGCTCTCGCGGGCATGGATCCGTTCACCGTTGTTCTGTCCGAGTTCGGAACGTTTTCCCAAGGCCGACGCGGCAAGCTGACGTACCTCAAGCCCGATGATGACTCGACTGTGTCGCTGCGGGCGCTACGGACCAGCATGCGCGATGATATCTTCCCCGATCTCAGGGCCCGGTTCTCGCAGCCGCACATGACGGTCGGCCGCGGTCAGCACGAGGAACAAGCCAGTCGGCTACAGGGCGACTGGCAGCCGATCGCTTTTGAGGCTCAAAGTGTGACCCTGCTCGCGCGCCCGATCATGGGCGAGCCGCTCGAGGTGCTCGCCGAGCTCCCCATCGGGCCGGGCGGATCGGTCTCTCGCGCAGCGCTCGACGCACATCTCGATGCCTCTGCGAGCACGAGCAGCGACGCTGCGGTGCACTCACTGCAAAATCAAACTGCAGGCTCTGATGCAATGGCTGCGCTTGCGACATGGGCAGAACGCGCCTCGATCCCGCTTGATGTCATGGATGTGGTGTGGGCCGAGGTCGATGCCGCTCTGCCGCGTCTTGCTGGTGATGCCGCGGCCACCGCTAGCGATAGCTCTGCCTAAAAGCCACACCGCTCCCTCCCAGCCCTTGCGATCCTTCCCTTTTCGTTGAGCTGGGCCGATGTGGCGCGTCAGAGACAGGTCAGTCAGCCGTCGAGTCGCGGCTCACCGGCCATCGAGCCACCACCGCAGCGAGGGGAGGACGGGCCCGTGCCACCCCGGGACCGGGACACCCCACCCAAAGCCCCGGCAGGTCGTCGAACCTTTCGATATCTTGCAAACGGTGCATGCTTCGGAGTGGGTTCGTGGCCCAACAGGTGTGTAGAGCAGGCGGTCGCGCAAGCAGCATGGCGGCTCGGACGGTGGTGAGTGGAAACAGCGTCGGTGCCACCGGCGACGGCAGAGACGGCAAGGATGGTGGGGAGGCCCAAGCCGGGTCGCAAGCTAGTGAGCAGACAGCCGATCGAGTGGTGTTGGCTCTGGAGGGATCGATTGGTTCGGGCAAGTCGACGCTGCTGCGTGTGGTGAGCGAGGCCATGGGCGGGCCCGAGGCGGTGCAGACCCTGGCCGAGCCGGTGGAGCGATGGAAGGATGTGCGCGGGCACAATTTGCTCGGCGAGTTCTACAAGGATCCATCGCGATGGGCGTACACCTTTCAGTCGTATGCCTTTGTCACCCGGCTGATGCTGGCCGCCGAGGCATCGGGCGATGCGCCGGTAACGGTCATGGAGCGCTCGCCTTTCTCGGACAAGCACGTCTTTGCCACCAACGCCCACGAGTCAGGGCTCATCACCGGACCCGAGTGGGCGGTCTACAACGAGCTGTGGGACTTTTACACCGCATCGGCGCGCGGGGCGCCCCATGCCTTTGTCTACCTCCGCACGTCGGCGCAAACGTGCTTTGATCGGATGCGCAAGCGTGCCCGCGCCGAGGAAGATGCCGTTCCGATGACGTACCTTGACGCCATCCACACCCGCCACGAGGCCTGGTTCCACACCAACACCGTGCTCGACGCAGAGCTCGGCGTGTACGCCACCGACGACGGCATCCCCTTCATCGTTGTCGAGGGTGAGGGTGACTTTGAGGCCGACTCGACTCGTGCCACGGAAATCGTGAGCGCCTTTGACGCTCTCGTCGCCTGGCTCCGCCATCGCCGGACCAATGCTAACTCCGAATGACCAGCCGGCCCCGGCGCCAGCCGTACTCATGTCGCCTCGAGCACGTCACGAAAGGTAAGCGAGACTCGCCACGGCTCATCCGGAAGCAGCTCGGGCGCCCGTCGGAAGCGCTTGTACAGCCGTGCCTTGCGAGTGATGCCATGCCGCCAGCCAAACCGCGCTTCGCCGGACAGCACATACACTGATCCGGGCGCCATGACGACTGAGACCCGCTCTTCGGGCTCGGCCACGGACTTGAGGGTAAACTTGGTCGGCACGACGAGGTTGACGCCGATGATGACGTCGCCAAAGAGGTCAATCCGGTCGACGTGATACCCAATGCCGTTGCCGGGCATGTACTTGTTGGCCAGGACTTGGTTCGGTGGCGTGGCAACGAGGCCGTCGGCCACAAACCGCTCCGCCAGCACCTCGAGAAGCAGCGCCGGCGCCGGCGGCGCAGCCTCGCCGCCTACAATCTGGCCGCACTCGTACACAAAGGCCCAGCCCCAGTGCTTCTGCAGCCGCGTCTCAAACGCATCGCTCCAGTCCACGCTCGTATCGCCTTCGATTGCTGCGAGCACGGCAGACTGCTCCTCGGCCGAGAGGTAGTGCGGGAGATAGAGGAAGCCCGGGACGCCGGCGTCGGTCACTCCGGCGAGCCGTGGTCTGTCGACCGCCGACGGCAGGGCGGCGACGGTGCGGCGACTCGCGGCTATGGTCTCGGCTGGCACGTCGACCTCGTAGCGGACGCATTCTTTGACCTCGCGGCGTGCTCGACCAGGCGCCATCTCGTTACTGTCGGCCATCTTCCCCCCTTCCTTCCAAACCCTCGCGAGTGTGTGACTGAGTCGAGTTGGGATTTGTGCCGGCGAGCTATTGCTGCTGTTGTTGTGCATGTTTGTTATTTTCGTTTGGTATGTCGAGAGTCGTAAGTATGTGCAGCAGAGAGAGAAGGGCTCGGCTGCTTAGATCTCTTCGGCGTCATCATCATCATCATCGTCGTCGTCCTCGATGATGAGATCGTCGCCCTCCTTGCCCTTCTTCTTCTTCTTCTTCTTCTTCTTCTTCTTCTTCTTCTTGTCCTTGGACTTCTTCTCACCAGCATCCTCGGCGTCCTCGGCGTCCTCGGCGGCAGCAGCCTCCGGCTCGGCTGCAGCCTCCGGCTCGGCAGCAGCCTCCGGCTCGGCAGCGGCCTCCGGCTCGGCAGCGGCCTCCGGCTCGGCAGCGGCCTCCGGCTCGGCGGCGGCCTCCGGCTCGGCGGCGGCCTCCGGCTCGGCAGCGGCCTCCGGCTCAGCGGCGGCCTCCGGCTCGGCAGCAGCCTCCGGCTCGGCGGCAGCCTCCGGCTCGGCGGCAGCCTCCGGCTCAGCGGCGGCCTCCGGCTCAGCGGCGGCCTCCGGCTCAGCGGCGGCCTCCGGCTCGGCGGCGTCGGCCTCATCAGCATCCTTGCCCTTCTTCTTCTTCTTCTTCTTGTCCTTCTTCTTCTTGTCCTTCTTCTTGCCGGCGGCGGCCTCGGGCTCGGCAGCAGCCTCGGGCTCGGCCGCAGCCTCGGGCTCGGCCGCAGCCTCGGGCTCGGCGGTAGCCTCAGGCTCGGCGGCGGCAGCCGTGCCCGGCATGGGCGGCGGCGGAGGAGGAAGCGAAGAGGTGGAAGCAGAAGCAGCGAGCGAGGCATCGGTGGACTCGCCATCATCGTCAGCACCAGCATCCTTGCCCTTCTTCTTCTTCTTCTTCTTGTCCTTCTTCTTCTTGTCCTTCTTCTTGCCGGCAGCGGCCTCGGGCTCGGCAGCAGCCTCAGGCTCGGCCGCAGCCTCAGGCTCGGCGGCGGAAGCCTCGGGCTCGGCGGCCTCGGCGGCGGCAAGCTCCTCCTCGGCAAGAGCAGCCTCAGCAGCGGCCTCGGCAGCTTCGGCCGCAGCCTGAGCGGCTGCCAGCTTCTCGGCGATGGCCTCCTTGCGGGCTGCACGCTCCTCGGCGGTCGCCTCCATGATGGTGGTGAGGGCGTCGACAAAGGCGTCGCGCAGGCCGATCTGCTTGGTGTAGAGCGTGATCGGAATGTCGTCCTCGTCGATGAGGGTGAGGGTGATGGCGTAGGCATTGTCCGAGTCGAGGTTGAGCAGCGAGGTCTCAATCTCGTCAATGTCGGCGCCCTCGATGACCTCGACGGCAGGCTTGTTGCCCATAAAGTTCTTGACCTTGTTCCACTGAGCGAGGGTGTTGTCGACGACAACGCACCACCGCTCAGGCCACTTCTTGAACGCGCCCTTCTTCTTGGAGCGGAGCGTGCCCTGGATGAGGATGTCGTGGCCCTCGCGCGCCTGCTGCTCGGCAGAGAGGAACTTGAAGATCGGCTTGAGGCCACCCTTGGCCGTCTTGGCCGGCGGGTACTCGAGCGGGTTGCCCTCGACCGGTAGCTGCTGCAGTGTGTCGGTCAGCTGGAGCAGCGAGAGCGGAAGCGCGTTGATACGGTTGCCGCGGATGTCGAGCGTCTTGAGCACGTCGAGTGCACCGAGCTCCGGAAGGACCGAAATGCGGTTGGCGGTGACAAAGAGGCCGTCAAGCTCCACAAGGGCGTTGATACACGCCGGCAGCTTGTTGATCTTGTTGAACGAGACGTCGAGGACCTTGAGCCCGGTCAGCTGCGAAACGGCCTCCGGCAAGCTCTCCATCTGGTTCCGCGCAAGCCCCAGGAGCTTGAGCGACGGGAGACCCACAATCTCGGTCGGGAACTGCTCAAACAGGTTCGACTTGAGGTCCAGCCCGCGCAGCGCTGTCAGCGCCGAGATCTCTGCCGGAACTGACGAAATCTGGTTGCCCTCCATGTTCAGGACCTCAAGCGAGGTGAGGGCACACAGAAACGCCGGAAACTCGGTGAGTGCGTTGGCCTTGACTGAGAACCACTTGAGCCGCACCAGGTTCGACAGCGTGTCCGGCAGCTCGGTGAGCGAGTTCGACTCGAGGTTGAGCATCTCAAGCCCGACAAACGAGCCAACCCGTGTGGGGAGCTCCGTCATCTTCTTGCCCGAGAGGTTCATCTTGGTGATCTGCATCGCCTGCTCGCGCGAAACCTTAGACGGCTGCGCAGGCTCGGCAGGCGCAGCCTCGTCCTCAGCCTCAGCCTCAGCCTCAGCCTCCGGCTCGGCCGCCGCCGGCGCAGCGCTGTCCGATGCGCCGTTGCTACCCGCAACCGCCACACCAGCCCCAGCCACCGCCGCAGACGACGAAGCGCCAGACTCGGAGACGTCGCCGTCGGTCTCGGCATTGGTCTCCTTGCCCTTCTTCTTCTTCTTGTCCTTCTTCTTCTTGTCCTTCTTCTTCTTGTCCTTCTTCTTGCCGGCGTCAACCTCGGCAGCTTCGATCTCGGCGTCACCGTCAGCCTCCGGCTTGGCTGCCGCCTCGGCCTCAGCAGGTGCGGCCTCGGCCTCAGCCGCAGCCTCGGTGCCGGGCTCGGCAACGTCGGCAGCCTCAGCATCCTTGCCCTTCTTCTTCTTCTTCTTCTTGTCCTTCTTCTTCTTGTCCTTCTTCTTGCCGCCGGCATTGTCGTCGACAACAATGGCTGCATCGTCGTCGGCGAGCTGAGCGTCAGCCGCCGACGCGTTGTCGCCTCCGGCAGCTGGCACCGGGAGCGGAGCCGGCGGCGGCGGAAGCGACGCCGGGGCCGCAGCCTCGGCCTCCGCAGCAGCCTCGGGCTCGGCGGCGGCCTCCGGCTCAACGGCAACCTCGGGCTCGGCAACAGCCTCAGCCTCGGCGGCGTCGGCCTCGTCAGCATCCTTGCCCTTCTTCTTCTTCTTCTTCTTGTCCTTCTTCTTCTTCTTCTTGTCCTTCTTGTCGCCATTCTCGTCATCGGCGGCGTCGGCATCGTCGGCGGCGGCAGCAGCCTCGGGCTCAGCAGCAGCCTCCGGCTCAGCAGCAGCCTCGGGCTCAGCGGCAGCCTCCGGCTCAGCAGCAGCCTCGGGCTCAGCGGCAGCCTCGGGCTCAGCAGCAGCCTCGGGCTCCGCAGCAGCCTCGGGCTCAGCAGCAGCCTCGGGCTCAGCAGCAGCCTCGGGCTCAGCAGCAGCCTCGGGCTCAGCAGCATCGGCCGAGCCTTCGTCCGAGTCGTCGGCGATATTCAGCTGGTCACCCTCCTTTCCCTTCTTCTTCTTCTTCTTCTTCTTCTTCTTCTTCTTCTTCTTCTTCTTCTTCTACTTCTCCTTGCCAGCCTCGGCCTCGCCGGCCTCGACCACCTCGTCAACCGAGTCGCCTACGACAACATCCTCGTTATCGTCCGCCATTGTCACTACCTCTCCATTCCAACAAGTAGTACGCGTGAGTTAATGTTCCCCCTTCGCTTCCGCACTTTGCTCCAGCCCAACACCTCGCCCGCTTGCCTCCCGTCTGCTCGCCGCTGATGCGCACCCTCGCAAACACAACACGAGTCGGTCGCTCGCTCGCCAGCGACCACTCGCCATTCACACGCCAGGATCACGCCCGTTGGCGCCGGGCGGTACCAGGCGGGGAGGCGTTGCAACGGCTCGAAATCAGAACAAGGCCCGCAACGAGGACACCATGCCTTCACCCACACGCCCTCTGCCATCTACACCATGGAACGCTCGCATACCGGCCCCTACACGCGGCACCTTGGCTCGCCCGCCGTTGAAAAAACAATGTAACGACCAAGGACGACAAAAAAATAGCAAAGACCGTCGGCGCGGGGGGGAGGGGGAGACGGACCCAACCCCCGACAACGGCCACCGAGAGACCAAGACGACGTGTTGGAGTCACAAGCACCAGACTAAGAAGCAAGCACCTCATTCTTGCCGGCTATCAAGGTCGGCGTCTCGCCCATGCAACTCTCGACACACCAACCGTCCTCCTCGTCGGTACCTACCTGCGTGCGAACCGCGTCAGATGTACGTCGAGAACAAGGTATGGTCTCGAGTTGGAATTCGAATGAACACGCGCCCAAGGGCGGGGCGAGCACGGTACCTTCCCTCAACTCACCGCTGACACCATCAATCAATTTGTCATCAATGTCCGTTGTCCATTGTTCGTGGATGAGAAATTTTGCCGACTCTTGCCGCACACCCACCGCCTTCCTTGCCCGGGGGGACGCCTTCCCAAAACGGGGGGACACGAGTGCGATGATGGCTTGGCCTTGCCTTCTACCTTGGCCTATATCTGCTGCCACATCTTGACAAGGGTAGCGCCTTGTCTCGGTTGGACGTCGCTGGCTTGTCGTGCAGGCACACGCATGCCAGCCACAACTGTCACGCTGGCTGCCGGGCACTCCATGGGGCACCCCGTTGGACAAGGATCGAAATGGGCACCTCCCCCCCACGCCATCCCCCGACTCCGACTCACCTCGTCCCGCCTCGAGATCACCAGCTAATATAGAGTGGCCAGAGCCTGTTGATCAGCATCGTCTGCTACCGTGGTCTCTGCATCGATAATCTCGTCGGCAACAACCATCCCCTCGCCATCACCCAAGACGATGTCATCCCGTATCCTGGGCCACATACGAACCCAGCCAAGCAAACCGCACATCACGCATGAATGGTGGTATCACGTTTCATCACAGGATTCGACGATCTGCTAACCATCGTGGCAGGAGCCATACCCAGCGCCTTGGGCGCCCAGCCCGGCATTTGCCGTCGCTTCCCGTCGTCGCCGTCTTGCGACCCAGGGTGAGCACGGAGAGCAAGGCACACTCGACACCAAAGCAGCTTCCGACCCGAGGGACAGATGCTGCGGTGCGTGGGAGGAGCTGGACAGCGGCTTCGTGCGTTGAGCGCTACTTGGGGCGCGCAAGCCCCCGGGCGGTGGGCGAGCAGCGAGAGTGCGGCTGATGCCGGGGATGGACAGAGCAAGGCGGGCGAGGAGGCGGGTGAGGCCGGCATGACGCCGTTTGGCGTCCGCAAGGTCGACGACGGGCTGTATGAGATGGACGAAGAGGCTTTCCATGAGTTGCTGCACTCGCCGACGGGTGAGTTCTCGCTTGTCGCCTCCTCAATTGGCGGCGGGGCCCCGGGCAAGGGAGGCGACGACGACGCGACAGCGAGCGACGTCGCTGCCTTTGTGGCCCGCGTCCACGAGGAGTACGCCAAGCACGCCGCAGAGCACGGCAGCAATGCCACGGCCGCGGCTGAGAGCCGCGCTGTCGAGATTACCTCTCGCGAGACGCTGGGTCCCGGGCCGGACGGGCTGTTCGGCGGCTCGGCCCGCGGCGACGCAAAGGTCGTCCTTAAGGCTCGCCCGGCCGCAGACTGGGGCCTCGACAAGACGCAGGTTTATGAGCTGGGCGTCATCGCCGGCCCGCGCTACGCGGCAACCAAGGACATCCTCACTCTCACCGTCGACGAGCACCTTTCGGTTGCCGCCAACCGCGCCGTCGCCCTCGAGCAGCTCGACGCCATCTACGGCGCCGTCAAGCTCGACGACAGCGAGAGCATCGCCGCCGCTATCACTGCAGCCGCAAGCGACTTTGAGCTTGCGGACAGCCCCGACTTTGGCGTCAAGGACGTCTCCAATGTGGAGGACCGGGCCGAGTGGGTCGCCAAGTAAAACTACGCTCGCCTTGCCTCATCCGTGGAGCAGGTTCGGCGTCGCGCACATTGCGCAATTGTCCGCGTTCCCCGCGTTCACCGTATCGCATGCCACACACGTCCATCCCGCCGCCTCGGCGTAGCCGCAGAGCGGACACTCCACGGCGCCGGCATCCGGATCCTCGTACCCACACGCCAGGCACCCGGTGGCCAAGCCGCCGCCCGGCCGTACAAACGGCACATACTCGGACTCGTACGGCCTGTCGTCGCTGCTATCGTGCAATCCACCGCTGCAGCCATACTCGCCGTCGTCATCGCCCGGTGCCAGAAGCGAGTAGCCGGCAAGCACCGGATCGAGCGAGCTCGACGTGCCGCACACCCCGCACTGCCGCGCCTCGGCACCATTCATCATCTCGCACACCTCGCACTCCCATTGTGCCGCCGCTGGCTGCCGGCGGCCCGAAGGACCTGCAATGCACTCGTCATCGTCACCATCATCGACACCGCTGCCGACCTCCGCGCCGGCAGGGCCGCAAGCCTCGGCGTCCGATGAGTTACCCGATGACGCCGCCGACGACGCCGCCGAGAACGACGCTAACCGCAGGCCGCAAGCCCGGCACTGAAAGGCCAGCTCGGTGTTGATCAGCGTGCATGCCGGGCAGGGAGCAGGGAGCGGCGCCGCACAGGCAGCACAGGCCGTCGCCGGAGGCGGCGTCTTGAGCGTGCATGACCGGCATGTGTATCCCTCGAACTCGCCGCCGCCTCCAGACTCTTCCACCCGCGGCACTGCAGCCATCGCAGCAGCAGCAGCAGCAGCAGCAGCAGCCGTAGCCGCTGCTGTGGCAGCCATGGTTTCCTTTGCCCGCGTTGAGACGGGTGGTGCAAACAATGTCTGTGCCCATCGCCCATTGCCCTTGGCCCTTGTCATCGGCAATTGACACCAATGGAAAAACGAGTCGGCTGAAGCTGTGTGACCACCGCCGCATCACAACCCACCGCTGCCGCCTGCAGTCACCACAACCGATCACGACTACAGCAGGTCGCTGTTGCGAACATCGATCTGCTGTGGTTGTGTTTGGTAGTCATCCACCTGCTGTAGTCGTCATCGATCTGTTGTGGTCGTCATCGATCTGTTGTGGTTGTGTTAGGTAGTCATCCATCTGCTGTAGTAGTCATCGATCTGTTGTGGTTGTGTTAGGTAGTCATCCATCTGCTATGGTAGTCATCCATCTGCTATGGTAGTCATCCATCTGCTGTGATTGTCTCGACTACCCCTGCCCCCCCCCCTCCGCCCCCCTCCGATCTCCACCACTCACACCACACACGCCCCACTCCAACAGCGGCCACACACTCCTCTGCCACTCCCCCCTCCACCCCCTTAATAGGAACACAGGTGACCATGAAGCCTGACACCATTCTCCAGTGTATGGACCGTGCCTCCCTCCCCCCCCCCCCCCCCCACCCCCTTGCCCCATCCCCTCCCTCCCCTCTCACCCTCACCCTGATCGAACACCCCCCTTGCCTGCCCAGTTGATGTCGGAGGGACGCTGTTCAAGGCCCGGTGGTCGCTGTTTGGCAACTCGCCGGCTGTTGCGGCGCTCTTCCCCAAGCCGAAGAAGTCATTGTGTGTCTTCCTGGACTGGGATGCAGACTCGTTTGCCAGGGTTCTCTCGTTGCTCCGCTATCGCTCGCTGGCGGCCGTGCCGGCCAACGCTCTCGCGCCCGACGAGACATGGCGCCTGGTGCGGGATCTCGAGCGTCTAGGCTTGTGGGCCGACGGCGCTCCGGCCGAGGGCATTGATGCAGAGACTGCTGCCACCCTCGAGCCGCTGGTGGCGCTGCTGACCGACCACCCGCTCGCCACCGCCGAGACCGCCGCCAACGCCGCCGACGCGTCCGACTCCGCCCCCAAGACCAAGTACGGTTGCGGCCGCGTCGGCCTCGGCTCGGAGCTCCTGTTCGACAAGACCGTTGACGTCGAGCGCGCCGTCAAGTACAACATCCATTGCGGGACTGCGGCGTTCAAGCTCTCCGAGGTCATCACCAACGACGACGGCGACGTCGATGTCGTTCCGCGCCTCATCACCCTCAACCGCATCAAGGCCAAGCTGCAGGAGCCCAATGGCCGTGCCCTGCGCAAGGCGCCGTACACCCATGACGCCATCCATGTCAAGATTGACCCCACCGTCCACGCCCCCACCCAGTTCTCGCTCACTCTCCGCGATCAGCACTTTACCATCGAGTGCCCCACCCATGCCGAGGCCCTCATCGCTGCGCTCTCCATTCGTCGCTTTAAGGAGAAGTTCATGGTGGTCACTCGCCTCGAGACATAACATCCTCTCATGCTGCAGATCCCGACACCGATCCGCCTGCGCTCCCAAACAGAGGCCTCTTGCCCCCGATCGGAAGCAGCGAAAAGAGCACAAGCACACAGCCCCACAGCAGCATGAGGATCGTTACAATGAGCCCCAGTCCGCCCGTGCTGATGATGAGCACGCCGAGGAAGATGAACCAAAAGCCCATGCCCCAGAACTTGCCCAGCATCGCCACGTTCTCCATGAGCGGCCCAGGCGCCACCAGTTCCACAGCGATGATGACGCAAACGAAAAATCTACCCTCGTCAAGCCGCTCGAGATGAGTTGTGCACGATCGATCCCCACACCCCCCCCCAACCGCGTGGCGGGCAGCGCCACAGATGCTGACGGGACACAAAAGCAGTGCGACGTACATGAGGAAGCAGCCAATAATAACCGATTTGGCCGAGCCAAAGGGGATGATCAAGGCGATAAAGACATAGACGCCATACAAGCCAGCTACAAAGAGAGTATCACGATCGTGCCCATAAGCATACGCCCAAGCCAAGTGAGTGAGTGTGTTGTGCCCGCTCTGTCTACCGATGACGCCTGAACGGCTCATCAGCGTCCACGCTTCCACGCAACTGGAGCCTCGCGTCCGTACCCAAGAACATGGTGATGAGTGCCACAACGGCATTGAACAGGCCTTCGGAACCCATACGAGAATGATATGTGTAACCTGACCAGAGAGTGAATGAGTGCGGGCTACTGTACGTCCTTCGCGGCAGATAACGGCTCGCTTTTTGTTCACTGCCAAGGCACAGGTGACGCCAGGGTGACGACACTCGGATAGCGGAGGCTGGCAGAGCCAATCAAGTCGAGGCTTTGGGAAGGTTGAAGACGGGCAAAGGGTTTTGATGGACGGAGATGGTGGTCATGCTACTGGTTTTATCCGTTGATGGCACGGAGAGGACAGATATGTCCACGTGTTCCAGCACACGACATCAACGCCCAGCCTCCTGGTACTCCCCCCACACACATGTTGATGACAAGTTTGCCGAGTATTGCTTGCATGTACCAGTTCAATTCTTCCTGCTGTGCCACACCAGAAACCACAGTTATCCGTTGTTCGCCATCATGTTGCCCGAGCCGCGCGGGTTGGCATCCTTAAAGTCGTCCCACTCGCGGGCTGCGTAGACGGCAGCGTCCGACTCGCCATCAGGGTCGTCGTTGGCCTCATCGGGCTCGCCCGACTGTGCAGCCGCAAGCTTGCGAGCCTGCTCTGCCATCATCACTTGGACGTCCTCGGGAGACGGCAGCTTGCCCGCCGCCATCTGCGCTTCGGCCCACTCCTCGATCGACATCGTCGGCTTGTTGGGGTTGGAAAACACCCGCATCCGCTCGACGTCGGCCGGCGAGATGGTGACCTTGGACATGGCCGGGCCAGAGGAGGCACCAGCCGAAGACGACGCCGCAGCGCGCTCGCGGTCGGCTTCCAGCTGCCGCTCGCGCGGGTCGCGCTGAGCTTCGCGCGCTGCCATTTGCTTGAGCGCCCCAATCTCCCGCTGGAGCATCAGCGCCTCGTCCAGAGCCGTCAGCACATTCGACTTGAACGCGCACAGATGCATCTCGCGATACTCCTCCTCCAGCTCTGGGTTGAGATCGATAAGCGCCTCGTCGGCGTCCGCCACGGCCGTCTCCAGCTCGCCCGCGCGCCGCTTGAGAGCAGACGCCTCGCGCGCCCGCGCAATCTTGATGGTCCGCCGGTCATCGTGCGAGAGTTCGTCCAGCTTGGCCGCCGCATCAATCTGATCGGCAGTTACGATGCCGTAGTGCTCAGCAAGCGCAAGAAACTCGTTCATCTTGATCCAAGCCGCAAGCACCCGCCGCAGCCGGGCCTTGGCCTCGAACGGCGTATCCTGCACCGCCGGCAGCAGTAGCGCCATGTGGAAGCGTGCAGAGAGCAGCGGAAGATCCTGCGACCGCACATCCTCCAGCTCTTCGTTCCGCGAAAACACTCCCGCTGCATCAATGGCCTGCAGCAGCTGATCAAGCGCACCCAGCGTGGCCTCGATCTGTGTCCGCACCACCTCGGACCGCGTGTCCGCATCTCGCAGCGCCTCTGCCTTTCTACTCTCGCCACACCCCATCCATCACCATGCAAGGAGCCCACCCGTCAAGCCAAGTCAGTCCCCAGCATGCTTCGCCCCTTCCCACCCCCCTCCCCTCCGCCCACTCCCCCCCCCTCCCCTCCCTTCCGGTCGCCCCACCGCCACCACCACCGCCACTCTCACGTACGCCACCAGCTCCCGGTAACGCCCGTGGAGAGAATGTCCAGAGTCCCCAGCCTCGGCCATGGTAAGGATAAAGAGTGAGGTGATACCCCCCCCCACCCCACACACACACACCACCACATCCCATATCCCCATCCTCGTCACCCTCCCCGTCTTGTGGCCGGCCCTGACCTTGAACCCTAGCCTGCTCAGCCTCTGCCGGGCAAGCGTAGACCACTCTAGACAACCTCACACAAGGTCTCTCGTCTGCATGCTCTACGATTTAACTTGTTACATGTTCTTGTGCATCCCGATGTTGGCCAGGAACTTGGAGATCGACTCGACGCAGACCTTCTCGCTGTCGGACGGAGTTGACGAGCCGAGGGTCGACGGGTCGAGGCATGTGTCGCCGCCGGCGAAATCAAGAGAGTCAGCACCCTCGATCTGCTGGACCTTGGCGTGATGGCACGCCACCAGGGCGTCCAGCGTCGTATCCGTGTTCTTGGCGCCCCACCCGCCCCAAGACGACGAAGGGTTGTCCAACGCATCGCCAAAGGCCTTAAACTCGGCCTTGCACTCGGATGCGTCCGTCACCAGCACAGACAGCCTGCCCTCTCTCTCTTCATAAGTCCGACACGCATCATCACCTTCATCAACCACATGCGAGCCCTGACACCACTACAGCGCGTAGCACACCGGTGCGCCTCCATCGCACGGAGCACACTCATCACACTCTTGCGCATCATCTCGCAAGCCACACACACGCACCCCACTCCCTTTCTCCACCCCTATCCAGCCATCGGCAGCTGAGCAATTGAGCAAAGTTCAACGACCAGGCAGGCGCACTCTCCATCGTCACGGACACGGACTCCTGCCCGCCAGGGAGCCACAGAGCGCAACCTCCACGGACCCATGGTACAGCCATTCCATGAGCCCAGCCTGTACAACACCAATAGAAGATACAGAGACGGAGGGGGAGGACGAGGAGGAGGAGGAGGAGGGCGAGTGGAAGGGGGTAGAGGTGGGGAGGGGGTAGGGGGGGAGGGTGGTGGGGGGGGGAGGGGGCGGCAACGCGACATGGATCGGTGGAGGAGAGGGGGAGGGGATGGGGGGGGGGGGGGGGGGGAAGGGGAGGGGGAGGAAGGGGAGGGGGGGGGGGAGTAGATGTTAGATTTGCGTACACCTTCTTGGAGCAGCGCTCTGCACCCATGCGGATGGCTTGCAGGAACTGGCCGCAGAGGCGCATGTGGTCCGGCCCTGGCTGGGCCACGTCGGGCAGGCCATGGGCGGCAAGGCACTGGCCGTAGCCCTCCTGGAGCTGGGCAAACTCGGGCGTGTGTGTGCAGTACTGGAGGAGGAGGGCACGGAGGCCGTCGGCGTGGGTGTTCGACGCCATGATCGTTAGAGAGAGATGTGTGTATCCGCATCCGCTCCTTCCTCCCCTCGCCTACTCTCCGGTGTCCATCACCACTGCTGTGCCCGGGCTGTTACTTTGCGGGCAGAGCCCGCCGACCGAGCTCAGCTAAACATCAGCCCCATCGACGCCGCCAGACTCACTCGCTGGCGGCTCGTCCTGGAACAGTGACAGGCGCGCGGCGGCGGCGGCAGAGGTCGAGGCTGCTGCCGCTGCCTCTGCGGCGGCAGCAGCAGAGCGAGACGCCGACGCAGGCATCCGGATCGGCGAGACAAACGGGGCCCGCTTGCGTGACGGCGGAGTCGCTGTGGCCATTGCAGCGAAGCTGGTAAGGTGCGCTGGTGTGTGCGGAGCGGCAACGGAAGCCCGCGGCGGAGATCCGAGAACGAGCGAGTGGGTTGTCGGAGATGAGCGGAGGTGAGCAAGTTCGCGAATCCGGACGGCATCGGCGAGCGCAGAGACATGCGCAGCTGGTGCAGGAACCGGCGGTGCCGGCGGTGCAAAGAATCGAGGCGGCGGTGGCGGCGGCAACTGGGCGTAGTGGCGTGCTCCAAAGTGGCTGCGCTCCGGAAGCGCCGCGGCATACAGCGATGGACGCGCTTGGCTGGCAGAGAGCGATGCGACCTCCGCCTCCAGCCGCGAGATGCGATCGCTGCTATCACTTCTGGCCACCAGTGCTGCTACTTGTGCAGAGAGCTCGCGGAGCTCGGCATGAATTGTAGCCGAGTCGTTCAACGCCGGTGACGGGCTCGGGAAGTCGACAACTGCCGCTGTAGGTGAGGCCGGGCAAGGAGCCGGAGCCGGGCAGGTAGCCGGAGCCGGACCGGCTTCAGCAGCCGGGGCAGGTGCCAAAACGCCTGCCAGCTCGGACTCCATCATGCGAGTCATGGCCTCAGCTCGAGCCGCCCGCTCCATGGCTGCGTACATACGCTGCGACATGGCCTCAAGCTGTGCCTCGGCTGCCTCGGCTCGGGCCCGGTACGCATCGCGCGCGTCCAGAGCCTCCGCCAGTGCCACGTCCATGGCGGTAATCTCGCGGACGTCGACGGTGACCAAGTGCTTGACAAACGACAGATCGTCCTCTTCATCGTCGTAGACGTACTCGTCGTCGCCATTGTCGCCCCACGGCGTGTCACGCCCGGCTGCCCATTGTGCCGGCGTCCCGGGCGTCGTCTGAGTCGTCGCCGCAACTGATCGCGGCGGAGTCTTCTGCACTATTTCGGCCATTGGTGCAGCAGATTGCTCCACTTGCTCTACCGGCAACTTTGATTCTGTATCTGCCTCCAGTGCCGGCTGCGATGGCGCCCGCCTACGCCTGCGCCTTCGCTGGCCTCGCAGCTTAGTCCCGCCAGGTGTCAGTGCCACAGGACCGCGACGTTGCATCCGTGCATCAAACTGCCCTCAGAGCCATCAGTATGCCCGTTCCGTCCAGTAGCATAGACATCCCACCGTACATGTTACCCGGTCCAAGCCATGCCAGATGCGTGTGAGTGCGGAGGAGAGGGGGGGCGAGAGGGAGGGGGGCGGGGCGGGAGGGGGCGTACCAAGCTCTTGCCTCGCTCGTGTAACCGGGCACGTGTAGACGGAGTGTACAGCCCATGCGTAGCCATAGCCCACTGCAGTTTGGGTGGCTGACGGTATGAAGTCGAGAGAGGCGTGTTGCTAGCAGTGGTTCCGGTTGGAGGGACCTGAGCCTGTGCTGGTGGGTGGGGTGCCGCCGCTCGCGCGCGGTCAATGGTGGCGCGCGCAGTCGATGGCGGGCTTCGAGTACCAACGAGGCTCGGTAGCCGCATGTTCAGTCAAACAGATCTGAGCATCTGAGCGCGATGGGCGACGGTGGTGGCTTTACTCACTATGCACTCTGATCTGGTCAGCAAATAATGGTGTTTACGGCCCATAGCTCATGCCCACGGCTCACGGCTCGGACTCCAGCAGGAACATCGGGCGACCTTGGTACATGTACCACCAGCCATCAAAGCTGGCAATGGCGGCGAGGGGCTCAGCGTCGAGTTTGGCGACGCCAGTGTCAGTAAAGAGCTTGACCTCGCTGCCAAAGCTTGGCTTCGTCCACGAGTAGTTGTAGCTGCCAGAACTGACAGCAGACCAAAGCTGGCCGGCAGAAGACACCGCGCCAAGCGGGGCCGGGCCTGAGAACCGGACCTTGCCGCCATCGAGGCGGCGAACGGAACCACACATCGGTTTGCTTGCAGCCCACGAGAGGCAGACAAGGCCGGTCTCGCTGTCGACAGCGACGTCGCTGGCGTCAGCAATGTCCAGAAGCGACGGCAGCAGCTCGTAGTGCGGCTGGCTGACCTGATCGCGGACGGAGCGGCCCGAGGTGGTCACATCACTCGAGCTGCCGCCGCCGCGGTTGCGCCGCTCGCGCCGACTCTCCAGCTTGGACGCGCAGGCTGCAGCATACTCGGCACCGGGATCCCCACAGCCAGTGCGGCAGACTCCGCTTGAAAAAGAAGTCGAGTCAGCGAGCGCGTTGTTGTCCATAGCTAGCATTCTCCAGCCTCCAAAGAACGCGTAGCGACCCAACGAGACAGACTTGCCGTACCAGTACCGGGCGTGCTGCCGCCACAGCAGCGGATCGTCAAGGAGTCGCCAAAAGTAAGTGCAGGTTGAGGCAAGCGCGGCTAGCGCCGGCGCCGGGCACATGGCAGCAATAGCGTAGTGGATCTCGGTCGGAAGCTCGGCAAGGATGCCAGTGAGTGGACGCGCCAAGCGTGCTAGATCCGGCAAGCGCGAATCGGCCAGCGTAGCTGGTGACGCCAGGTGTGGGCCGCAGTGCGCGGCAAGAACAGCGCGCTCGGTTGCGCTGCCGGCAAGGTATCGCGCAACACCATCGCTGGCAACAATCCAGGTTCCGTCGGCACGGCGAACCTGGCTGGCCCAGCTAGCCTGGTCGTGGAGCACCAGTGTAAGCTCATGGTCGTGGAGTAGGATAGGCCGGTTTGCATCCACCGACCGCAGCATCACCCCCGGCAGATCATGCAGATCCAAGCCGGTAGCCGATGGTGTGCCGGCCAGCGACTGGACAGCAAGCGTAGGCGTGCCATTGATCCCGTGCTCGCACTCGAGCCGGAGGTGGCGAGCGACTCGAAGTGTGCAACGGAAACTGGCGGTGCACCCCGCCCAGGCCATCGGGCACTTGTGGAGCTGGCGCGAGCCCACAAAGTCGTCCATGCCCAGCACACCCTGGTTGAGGGCGTCAAGCGTCACCGCTTCGGCGCGGGCAATCACCACATGCCACGGCCCAACCCGCCACGGATCAACCACCTGATGCCCGGCGATAGAGCCGTGGCCGAAGAAGACGCCCGGACCCGAGCCGACACGTCCTGCTCCAGCCCACGCCTTGAGCATGAGTGCGTACTGATGAATCGGGTTGGAGCGGGCGGCGATTGCGGCAAAAACGCCGTCGCAGCCTGGCAACGCACCCATCCACACCACTTGCCCGCGCACAGGCGGCACGCCATGCGGCAGCGCCACATTGACCGGCGCGCCATCGTACAGGTGCGAGCCGTCGACGGCGGGCGGTGGGAGATGGTGGACAGTGTAGTCGTGCGGCATGCGGGCCGTCGGATTAAACGCTTCGCTCAGCTCAGCCCACCGCACGATCTCGGCCTCGCCCATCACGCTGCGCAAGATGTGCAGCGGCGGCACAAACACAACCTGCCGGGCGTAGTACGGATAGCCGTACTCCGACACGCTGTTGACGCTCGCCTCGATGATGAGCCCGGCGCACGCTGCCAGCACTTTGGCAGACACATTCATCGTGGCCTCGAGCGAGAGCTCGGACTGCGATGAGCTCGCCGTCCACCCGTTGCCCAGAATGGTCAGCCTCGAGACCCTGCGCGATAAGCCAGCCTCGGCCATGAGGACAAGCAAGCGCTCCAGCATGCCAGCCAGCGGCGGATCGAGCGAGGTGGGCATCGGTGCCAGCGAGATAGTCAGATACTCTAGCATCGGCCCAGAGAGCGCGATGCGGAGTGCAGCCTCGCCATCGCCGCCCCACAGCATCGGCTGCGGCGGAATGCCTTCCATTGTCAGCGCGGTGATGTCTGTCATGGCCTGCTCCGTGAGCTCAGGCGCCGGCCACGCGACAGTGACCACGCCACGGGTCGGAGCAACAGGTTGCTGGCTAGGCATGGCGTGAAGGCAGAGTGAGAGAGGTGAGGTGAAAGGAGAGGGAGGGCTGTGTGTGTGTGTGTGGGGGGGGGGGGGGGGGGGGGGGGGTACGTCTTGTTGGATCAGCTGAC